TCACCAACGCTGCCCCCTCAGTCTCTTTTGTTTTGTTTTTTTCCTTAATTCAAGCTTTAAAGGAACCTTCATGTCTATCTTCTGAGCACTTCAACCAGACATCAGGTTGTGATGCAAGCTTGGCCTCCCAGCCTGCACCTCTCCCCCAGGAGCGGGAGCGCCCCATCAGGAGAGCCGCTGAGCTCCAGGACAGGATGGAGGCCCAGAGGTTCCGGAAGAATCTGAGAGAAAAAGGAGGAGGGAGAGGGACTGTGTGGGTGGAGGGGTGGGACAATGGGGCAGAGGGAGCAGACAGAAGGGAAAGCACAGAACTAAGAAAAGGAAGAAAAAGACATGAAAAGGAAAGAAGTTGGGGTGGAGGGGTAAAGAAGCAGGAAAAGGGGGGGAAAGGGAACGGAATAAGACAAGTACGGAACTGAACAGAACCAGAAAGGGGTAAAGAGCAAATCAATGAATTCGTGCCCCCAGCATGTACCAGGGCCCTGCTGTGTCCCCAGATCCAGTGAAGGGCTAGGGAGGCTATGAAGACCCTGACCCTACCGGGTCTCCTGGGGAGCCCACGCTCCAGCAGGGAAGATGGGTGGTGACCCCTCCCTTGGGTTGGGAAGGCCCCCAGCCCCACAACGTCCCCATCCAGCACATTATTCTTGGTTTGGATCTGGCTGGAACCTGGGGGGGGGCGGCTGGAGTGAGCCTGGGGAATCCAAGTGTCCCCAGGGGACCACACCCCAGCCCTGCTTTCATTCCAGCTCCTTCCCTGGCTCCTCTGCCTCTGGTCGACTTTCCCTTCATGGACTGGGGTTCCCAGAGGATAGGGCAGGACCTGCGGGGACCAGAAAGCAAGCCTTCTCTTCAGCAGCCTGGACTGAAACCTCACTCTTGAAGAGAAGAAAGTCCTGGATGTGGATATTTGAAAGGAGGACAAAACAAAAAGGCAAAGGGGACCCAGGAAAAGAGCTCCAGAGTGGGAAGGGTGCAGAAGGAAGCAGAGCCCCACAGAAGCAAAAGAGGAGGGAGGCAGGGGACAGACAGACAGACAGGAGTGGGGTGAGGGAGTGCAGGGAAAGAGAGAGAGAAGGAGGATGGGGCATTACTTGTTCTCCTTAGTTTCACACCTAAACTCCTCCCCCGGTTGTCTGCACTCTGACCCCATTTCCTGGCCTCTCACTCACTCCTCAGGCCACTCCACTCTGGCTTCCTCACTCGCCTAAGGCACCAGTCACCACCATGTTGATAAATCCAGTGAACATTTTACTCCTTATCATCCTAACTCTCTCTGCAGCACGTATTTCCCCTCCTGCCAGAACAATCCGCTCCTGCAGGCATGCCACCCACCATGCCTCTCTCCTCCTTGCCCTCCTACTTCTCCCGCCCAGGCAGGCTCCTCCGCCCCTGCCCAGCCTGTCAACCCTGAGGGTCCTCAAGGCTCATCTTAGCCCTTCATCGCTCCTCCTACCATGATTTCTCCAAAGACAACTCCATCCACACCATCATCTGGGGCAGAGGGACCCTCATTTGTCCCTCCTCTGGACTCCATATCCAAACACCCAACCATCTCCTCCATGTTTCTGACTGGAAGTCTCATCGTCACCTAACACCCTCCATGGACAAACTTCACTCATCATCTTCCCTCTCAACCCAGGAAGGATGAAGAGTCAAGGGTAGTCTCAGGAGGCCAAAGGACTTGGGTTGAGGCTGAAGCACAAAAAGAGCAGAGCTGTGCCTGGAAGCTAAAGAACTCAGCTAAAGATCAAAGGGCCGGAATGTGCAATGCTGAGGAAAGGTAGGAAGAAAGGACCCCCCACACCTGGAATCAGCCCCCAGATTCTGCCCCCAGGGATGGTCATCAGGCACCGCACTGGGCTCCATGACCTGACCCAGGTCCCCACTGCAGCTTCACTCTTAGACCCTTCCCCTCCCTCTCCTCAACTGCTCTCCTAGGGACCCTCTCCATCACCAGCCTGGGGCCAGGGTGGGGCATTCTGGAGGATCATACTGGGGACCAAGGGTACTGGAAACGCAGCAGGGTCCAGAGCAGCTGCAAAGCTGAGCACCCCACCTGCCAGGTGCACCAACACCCGGGAGGCCTCTTCTCCCTGGTCCCACACCACGGAGTCCAGCCAGACTGGGGGCTTGAGGGGTTCCCAAGGGATGGGGGAACTAGGGAGCACAGGCCTGACCCCTCCCTCATGGAGGGAAGGCACTTGGGGAAATTTGGAGAGGGAGAGAACTCAGAGCTCAGCACTTTTCCTCTTTCTGTTTTTCTTCTTGAGGAATTTTTTTCCCCTAAGTCGTGATGACTTTACCATTGCTTGGGGGTTGGTGGGAGGAGATTTTGGCTTTTGCTCCCCCCATTCCAAATGCCGGACAAAGTCTTACATTCCATAAGAAGCCAGAGCTTCAAAGTTTCCTAAAGATGAGGTGGCGTCTCCTCCCCTCTCCAGACCCAGCTCCCTCCTTCCTCCCTCCCCCCAAGTCTCAGTCAAGCCCAAGGAGGCCCAGCTAGGCTGGGAGGAGACCCCAAGCACATTCTTCCTCTCACTGTCATACTGCAGAAATTAAAGACACATCTTTGGGCTGGGCAACCGCCAAGCATTTCAAGTTGAAAAGTGGCAGAGGAGGCCCTGGGCCTCAGCTCTATGCCACGTGTAAAGGATGCTTGGAAACCCTCTGCCTGCAACCCTTGGGACACAGGTCTTACACTGGACATTGAGGGGTGGCTGTCACCCCACAACACACACACAAAGCCTACCTCCAGAACCCCAGGGGTCCCTGAGCATCCTCTGGGACCTCAGGCCTGTGTAGCAACTCCCAGTCCACATCTCTGAGGCTTGATCTCTTCTCTAAGGCAGCAGGGGACAGTGTGAACAGGGAGCACGCAGGGAGGGGGCTGTAGGCAGATCAAACTCAGCTGCAAAAACTCAGCAAGCAGGGAAGTGGGCAGGTCGCACCACCCCTCAACGAAAGCCTGTGACACCTCACCCCAGACAACCACTCCAAAAGGTTGACCATTCTGAGGGTCAGGACCCTTGTGGCCTGTTAGGAAGGGGAAGCCCCTTGCCCCCAACCCATGCTGGGTGGGTGGGTGGGGGCTTCAGGAACTGCCATCTCAGCACCTCAGCCCCTGCCTGTCCTGCCCTGCAGTCGCTGGCACCAGGCGGGGACAGATCCTGGGCCACAAGTTGCTGCCACATGGTGGGGATAATTGATCAAGGCCCGTCCCTCCATTGCTGTCTCCAGCCCTGCCTCTCTGGAAACTCTATATTTTCGCTTTAATTATAGCCCCTGCCGTCTTCCTCCTCTGCCCCACCCGCACTGCTCTTCCTGGCTGCCCACAGGCCGGCCGACGTGGCTCCCTCCCCTTCTGTTCACTTGGTCTTTTTTTCCCTTTGCCTTCGTTGCACAAAACCAGCTGGGGGAGGGTGTGGAGAGGGGTGGGGGGAGGCGCTGGAATCTTGGATGGTTTGGGGGAGGCGGGACTCCCCGCTTCCACGTTTGCAGCTCTGGAGTGATGGGGGTAGGGGAGTTGTACAGGAGGGGCTGTAGTTTACAAGCTCTCCAAACAGACCCCCCCATTGCTTCCCAAGCCCACAGATTTTGGCAGGACCAGGGGCCTGCACAGACTGGGGTTGGGGAAGAGCACTTCGGGAGGTTGGTCATGGGGGAGGAAAGACACTGGCTTCTCAAGTCATCTCCCCAAATATAGCTTATTGTCCTTGGGTCCCCATCCCCTTTCAGGGTACAGGTGATTCTCTCCTGGTTCCAGGGGCAGAGAGTAATGCCCTGGATTTTCAGGAAAGAAGTGGGGCAGTAGGAAACATTCTCTTAAACAAGGTCACTCACCCTTCCTTGCAATTCTATTCCAAACCCCCAAAGGCAAGTCTCCCCCAGACATTCAAATTTTTTCAATATACCCTCAACCCTGCATCCAGGTACAACCAGAGTCGGAGCTTCATCCAGCTTCCAGAGGGAGCATGCTCTCGGGTCAAATACTCTCCACCTGACTTCTCCCCAAATGACTGCGCTGGGTAGGAGGGTCTCTAACCAGGTCCTGGCCACAGCCACAACAGACCCTAACACAAGACCGTTTCCTAAGTTACAGGTGCTCAGAGCCCTCCCCGTGCAAACTCATCCCATCTGGGGGGAATAGAAGAGTCCTAAAAAATCTTCCACTGCCAACCTGAAGCCCCTCACTCCACTCCAAAGCTCCCTTCTGGAGAGAACCACACAGACCAATTTCTGACTGTGCCCCAGCCTCCCCACCCCATCTCTCTCAATCATGCCGGGGTTTAGGAGAGGGCATTTGAGTCTGTCTTGCAGCCTTAGGCATAGCAGAAGAATCGACATCCTCAAAATAAACCCCTCTTGCCAGCATTGCCCCCCAAGATCTGATTCTTAATGTCTATAAAGGAATCTCTAACGTGTTCCCCAAATGTTCCTAAGCTCCATACCCCAATACACCAGAAGACAACCCTAAGGAGGTGCATTTTAAAAACTCCCTGGTTCTCCTGTTTTAGAGAGGTCCTCAGCTGGCCTCTTCATACCCATCCCTCAGCTCCCATCAAGGATGTCAGGAGCCTAATGTGGCGTGGCTAGGAGGGTCCTTTCCCATCACTCCCAATTCTTTCACCTTTGAAAGTTTCCCCACCCACCTCCCCAATTCCAGTTCCTCCAGAGTGGGGATCCCGGGAAGAGAGTCGAAGGGGCGCCCCTACCCACTCTTTAGCCCACCCTATATTGAGGACCTAGCCGCACCCCGGCAGCAGCATCTCTGGCCCAGGCTGGGCTTGGGGGCTGGGGAGGCAGAGCTGAGAAGGGGGAAGATGTGCGGTGGATCCCTTCCTCTGCTTTCCCTCCTCCTCCCCCTCTGCCTTCCAACTCCCAAATTGGGGGCCGGGCCAGGCAGCTCTGATTGGCTGGGGGACGGGCAGCAGGCTCCCCCTCTACCAGGGGCAGGGTTCCACCCCGCTCTCCATCAGGATAGTATAAAAGGGGCCCGGGCCGGTCGTCGGAGCAGACGGGAGTTTCTCCTCGGGGTCGGAGCAGGAGGCACGCGGAGTGTGAGGCCACGCATGAGCGGACGCTAACCCCCACCCCAGCCGCAAAGAGTCTACATGTCTAGGGTCTAGACATGTTCAGCTTTGTGGACCTCCGGCTCCTGCTCCTCTTAGCGGCCACCGCCCTCCTGACGCACGGGCAAGAGGAGGGCCAAGACGTGGGCCAAGACGTGAGCCAAGACGAGGGCCAAGAAGAAGACAGTAAGTGTCAGACTTTGGGGAGTCCAGGCCTACTTGTTATCTTGCGCTGTTGAGTGTCCCAGGGGTCGGCGACTTAAACTGAAACTCGGGATGCTCCGAAGACTCAGGGATGGAAGGGAGATGGAGAAGGCTCTCTGCCTGGCGCTCTGGGAAAGAAGGCAGTGCGCCCTGGGTGGGGGCTGTAGATGAACGCCCCCCAAGAGAGGGAGGAGAGGGTGGAGCGCGGCGTGAATTGGCTCAGGACGAAGACCCGAGCGCACACTGTGGAGTACAAGGGCGAAAATGCAGGTCTGGGCGCACGGTGGAGGGAAAGTACGTCGAAGGTGGGATGGGGACGCCGAGCTGGGAATTTGGAGGCCAAGATGTAAAAGCTATCAGGAAGGCTGTGGGATGATTCATAGGGAAAGATTGTTTGCCCTCTCTGCAGGCTAGGCAGTGTTTCTGCGGCCGCGGGGGTGCGGGGCTAAGCGAGGAGGGGGCGTGGAGAGTGAGCGGGTTGGAGGCTGAGAAACTTTGGCGCGGATTTGGCAGGGTGGGGTCCTGGCGCCCTCTGCTGTCAACACTGAGCACAGCGCCTTCCTATCCAGCGCTTCCCCGCGAAGGAGGTGGAGCAGAAAGACGGGTTATTGCCGGGTGTGAACCTCTCCTCTAGACCTGGAATAAAATACTGGGGTCGGAGTAGCCCCAGTCTCTAATAGCCAGCTAGGGGGAGTTGGTTAGTGTTGCCCGCCACCTAGTGGCTGTCTGGGCAGTCGTTCGCGCGGTGGGCGTGGTTAACTAACTACTACTATTTGAGGACTTTTGGGTTCTTTGGCTTAGGAGTGACCTAGAGTCACTGGTTGGTGTTGGGAAACGGGGGTTGTCCCCAAAAGAGGGCTTTTAGATGTCTGGGCCCTGGAGGTTAGGGCGTATCCTACTTTTGGAGTACTTATCAAATTTCTGGGAGGGACTCCACGCCAACGAGCCCCGCCCCCTCCCCTTAGCCCCGCCCATGCCATCCCACCTGCGAAGGGCTGGACCTCCCATCTCTCCTCCCACTCCTCCTGTCTCCACCCCAACACGCCCCACAAGCCTGCCCTCCTGGTGCGGCCCCGCCTGTTCTCTCCCTCCACTCCCCACCCCTTACTCCCCCACCCAGTGACTTCGTATTTCACTTGGCTTCAGCGCCGCTGTGCTGGGGTTGGAGTTGGAAGCGACCCCGGTCTAAAGCTTTGTTTAAATTCCTGAAAACTGGAAAGAGTTACAGCCGCCTTGGCCAGGGGCCTCGGCGCTGTCACTGGCGCTGATGAGGAGCAGATGAGCTTCTAAGGATTTGGGGGGGGGGAAGGAGGCGGTGAAAAATGGAAAATCTAAGTGTGTCTCTTAGACAGAGGGTAAGGTCTGATAGGGGTCCCTGGAGTCCCGAGGTGGGGGCTCCGGCGCCGCTGACAGCCCCCACTCCTCCCCTCTTGCGCCAGTCCCACCAGTCACCTGCGTACAGAACGGCCTCAGGTACCAAGACCGAGACGTCTGGAAACCCGAGGCGTGTCGGATCTGTGTCTGCGACAATGGCAACGTGTTGTGCGATGACGTGATCTGCGACGACACCAAGAACTGTCCCGGTGCCACAATTCCCCCGGGCGAGTGCTGCCCCGTCTGCCCCACCGACGGAGGTACGGCTCCGGCCGGGGCTGGGGGAGCACGGGCCCGCTTGGGGGCCTCTGCCGCGGGGGCATCTGGAGCAAACCCTGCCCCTAACCCACGTTCTGCTTCTCCTAGAATCACCTAAGGACGAAGAAACCACAGGAGTGGAGGTAATCCTCTGCCTTCCACTTTCGCCACCGCCACCCCCACCCCCCACGTAACTCCCCCACGGCCCTCCCTCCACTAACCCGGCATCTTTTTTTTCTCTCCGCATCCCTATAGGGACCCAAAGGAGACACTGGCCCCCGGGGCCCAAAGGTAAGTGTTGGCCCCCCTCGTGTTGGGGGAGAAAGGTGGCCCCGGCGCCCGGCCTGCGCTCACCCAGCTCGCCCTCTCCCGCTGCAGGGACCCGCTGGCCCCCCTGGCCGAGATGGCATCCCTGGACAGCCTGGACTTCCTGGGCCCCCCGGACCTCCCGGACCTCCTGGACCCCCTGGCCTCGGAGGAGTAAGTGGAGAGTCAAAACACTTGTGAAAGACCTTGCATGCCCCCTTCCCCATCCACCTGTGTTATGTTTTTGGTTTTTGGGGGGCAGATAGCATATTTTATATTTTGAAATAATTTCAAACTTACAGAAAAGTTACAGGAACTCTCATGTACCCTTCACAGTTTGGCACATTTGCTTTATCTGCCTCTGTGTACAGATGTAATTGTAATTATGGCTATTTTTCTTTCTGTGCCATTTGTTTGAGAGTAAGCTGCTGACATTATGTCCATTCATTCCTAAATATTTCAGTGAATAGTTCCTGAGAACAAGAATATTCTCGTACATGGTTACAGCACAATGGCTACGTTTAGGAAATTTAACACTGATACAACTCAAGTACCCTCCCTCCACTCCCCACCCCTTACTCCTCCACCCAGTGACTTCGTATTTCACTTGGCTTCAGCGCCGCTGTGCTGGGGTTGGAGTTGGAAGCGACCCCGGTGCTTCCATATTCATACAGTCCATATTCAAATTTCACTAATGTCCCTATAATGTCTTTTATAACATTTTTTTTTGCTGATCCAAGATTCGGCTCAGGATCATAAATTGCATTCAATTGTCATGTCTCTGGTTTCCTTTAATCTGGAATATTTCTCCAGACTTTCTTTGCCTTTTACAGCACTGAAGTTTTCTGAAGAGGCCAGTTGCTTTGTAGACTGTCCCTCAGTTTGGGTTTGTCGGGTGTATCCTTGTAATTAGGTTTGGGGGATGCATTTTTGGCAGGAAAATCACATAAGTGATATTGTGCTTAGCATCATATCAGGAGGCACGTGATGTTAGTGTGTCCTATTACTGGGGACGTCTTCTGCCTTTAACTCATCGCTTTCTCATGTGCTGTCTTGTGTTTTCTAGAACTTTGCTCCCCAGATGTCTTATGGCTATGATGAGAAATCAACTGGAGGCTTGTCCGTGCCTGGCCCCATGGTGAGTCACTAGGAGACAGAGCTGATAGAAAAGGACTGGATGGAGATCCAGACAAGCTGGTGCAGTGATGGCACATCAGGGTGGCATAGATAACTTGGAAAGTCAAGGCGACCTTTGTTTTGCGACCTGCAAGTTCATAGACTATACAAGACACCTGGGGGGTCCCAACAGGAACCAATAGGAGAGAACAAGACTACACTCAGGTTGTGCTTCGCTAAAGAGGTTTCACTCTCCTTCCCTTTCCTGTCCTGCTGTAGGGTCCTTCTGGTCCTCGTGGTCTCCCTGGCCCCCCTGGCGCACCTGTGAGTATCCAGGATGTCTTCATACACTGCCTCAGACTTTAGTCTTTTGGAGGGAGGATTGGGACAAGGGCAGGGTAGGTGCTTCAGGGTCTTGGTGAGATGGGGAAAGGTTGGCATGACCTGCCTTCTAACCCCACCCTTCTCTCATTGTTCTCCAGGGTCCCCAAGGTTTCCAAGGTCCCCCTGGAGAGCCTGGAGAGCCTGGAGCTTCAGTAAGTGCCCCCAGCTTGTACACTCTCTCTGCAAATACACACTCCCTCTACAAATACATAATTCTGTTGAAGGACCCCCAGTCTTGGGTCTTCCTTACCTCTTCCTTCCAATCCCAGCCTTCCCCTTCTTTTTTCCTTATCCTGGCAATTCTAACCTCCTTTATTTCTGTCTCCTCTAGGGTCCTATGGGTCCCCGCGGCCCCCCTGGCCCCCCTGGCAAGAATGGAGATGATGTAAGTAGCCCAGGGAAGAAGATACCATCTGACTCCCGCCACCTCCATGGGCCAGGTCCCTGTTATCTCCACCCCAGTGGCCCACCACCTTTGGGGTGCTATGCAGAGAAAGGAGGGCAAGTTCTCCCTGATGCACAGGACTGGCCTTAGACAATGACCTTTGCTCTTCATGGGATGTTTCTCCATCTCCCCAGTGGGGGTGACTGTCCCTCCCCCCACCCCAACCACCTGAAAGCAATCCCACCCCCATCTCTCAGAGCAAATGACTTCCTTAGGCTTAACTGCTCTGGGCACCTCAGATTTGCTTTTCATATGGTGAAATTAAAATGCTAGAGACAGAAATGTTTTAAAAATTCCTTTTGAGTGATTCAAAATTCACAAACAAGGATCTCGTGGTAGATTTAAACTGCACTCTAAGTTAAAAGATAAGATTCTGGACCACTAAACCTGACCTTCAACAATCCCTAGAAGACTCAGCCTTCCACACTTGTCCAGCCCCGGAGGCATGGACACAATAGCCTTCTCTCTCCCTCGCAGGGTGAAGCCGGAAAGCCTGGTCGCCCTGGTGAGCGTGGGCCCCCTGGACCTCAGGTGAGCCAGATGTGCAGCCGGCCTCAGGCTTTGCTGCATTTGGGCTTCTTTGGGGAGCACTGGACAACAGTGGTGTCCTCTAATGGCCTTGCCTTTTCCCTCCTTTTTTTTTTTTTTTTTTCCTTTCCAGGGTGCTCGGGGATTGCCTGGAACAGCTGGCCTCCCTGGAATGAAGGGACACAGAGTGAGTCCCCTAAGCTCCCAAAAGCCTAGCATCCCACCATTCCAGCCCCTTCCCCAAAGGGTCCTGGTGTGTGCCATGATGGATGGCAGCTACAGAACTCCCAAGAAATAGAGAATAAACATCCAGAAAAACTTTCCTCCACTGGGAAAGAAATCCCAGTTAAGGGATTAGGAGAGATCTTGGACCAGTTGAGGTTATGTCTAGCTCAAAACAGAGGGGTGACTCTAGTAACTTCCTAAGGCTTCTTCTTAGGTTTGGGTGGGTGGCGAGGTGGCCCAGCCCCTCCATAGGGTCTCACCTTGGCACTCCTTCCTGTCTTAGGGCTTTAGTGGCTTGGATGGTGCCAAGGGAGATTCTGGCCCTTCTGGTCCCAAGGTAAGAGTCCGTCTAAATGTTGCGGTCCTCCACCACACCCCACCCCCGTCCCACCATGAACAAATTCCTAACTCTGTTCTCTGCTCCATAGGGTGAGCCTGGTAGTCCCGGTGAAAATGGAGCTCCTGGTCAGATGGTGAGTGTGTCCAGTTCTAGAAGGAAGAGAGGGAGAAAGGGGAATTGGGGGGAAAGGATTTGTATCCCTCCTCACCTGCCTTCTCTTGGTTTTGTCGTCAGGGCCCCCGTGGTCTGCCTGGTGAGAGAGGTCGCCCTGGAGCCTCTGGCCCTGCTGTAAGTACTCAGGCCCCTCGAGTGATTCCTGGGCTCTGGAAGGGGGTCCCCGGGAACTACAAGGATGGGCCAGCACTCAGGGGACATAACTGGGGCTTTCCCTCTCTCCTGCAGGGTGCTCGTGGAAATGATGGTGCTACAGGAGCTGCTGGCCCCCCTGTGAGTATGGCGCCTGACCTCAGTGCCTGCGAGTGGGGAGGGGTCTCAGTGTCCCCTTAGGGTTGGCACCGGGGGCAGGCTATGATGGTCTGAAGCCCCTTCTGTCCCAGGGTGTGGCTTGCAGCTGCCCCCTTCCTTCTTGCTGACATCTCCATTTCATTCACAGGGTCCCACTGGCCCTGCTGGTCCTCCTGGATTCCCTGGTGCTGTTGGTGCTAAGGTGAGACCCTCGCCCTCTGAGCAAGGTTCCCATGGGCCAAGGGGTAGATGTCTCCCTACTCCCAAACCAGAGGGACCCGGAATGGCATGAGAGAAGCCTCAACACCTTGGTCCTGGGCTCCCCTTGATCTTGGAGTCCTGATTCTGGTCTCCTGTCCCTCCCCTCCATCCCCCCACCATCCAAAGGTGAGGTTGGGCTCCAACAGTAGCTCCTGACATGTCCTTCCTTCTGATCCAGGGCGAAGCTGGTCCCCAAGGAGCCCGAGGCTCTGAAGGTCCCCAGGGTGTTCGTGGTGAGCCTGGCCCCCCTGGCCCCGCTGGTGCTGCTGGCCCTGCTGTAAGTGTCACCTCTTTGGTGCCCCTGTGCCCCTTCCAGCTCAGAGGCCTTGCCTGTCACTCACCCTCCTCTCTCTGTGCCACAGGGAAACCCTGGTGCTGATGGACAGCCTGGTGCTAAAGGTGCCAATGTAAGTATCCTGCATGTTTCAGAGCTGGCCCTGGTGCCCACCTCCCACCTGACCCCCGCCCAACTCCTGGGCTTATCCTGTTCTGCCCCCCCGACAGGGTGCTCCTGGTATTGCTGGTGCTCCTGGCTTCCCTGGAGCCCGAGGCCCCTCTGGACCCCAAGGTCCCAGCGGCCCTCCTGGTCCCAAGGGTAACAGTGTAAGTACCATGTTCACTTCTGCCCTCCCCTGTGCCAGTGCTGGCTCCAGCGTGGCCCTTGTCTGGGGAGCATGAAGGTCCAGGCCAGCTAAGCACCCCCAACTCTCCATTCATCCTCTCTCCCCCAACACAGGGTGAACCTGGTGCTCCCGGCAACAAAGGAGATACTGGCGCCAAGGGAGAGCCTGTAAGTCCCTGCAGCCCAGCTGCCTCCCTGGGAGTCCCCTGAGGGAGATCCGAGGAGGACCAAGAGCCCCTGGTGCTGGAAGCCCGGCCTCAAGCCAGCTCTGGAGCTGGCACCAGGGTGGCCCCTCACTGGAGGCTGCCTCCTCCTCTCTGCCCTTTCCAGGGCCCTACGGGTATTCAAGGTCCCCCTGGCCCTGCCGGAGAAGAAGGAAAGCGAGGAGCCCGAGGTGAACCTGGTCCCACTGGCCTGCCCGGCCCCCCTGGCGAGCGTGTAAGTGCCCTCTTCTCTGCCCCTGGTGCCAGGCTGGTGCCCGCGAGTCTGAGCTCACTGGCCTACTCTCCTTCTGCAGGGTGGCCCTGGTAGCCGTGGTTTCCCTGGAGCAGACGGTGTTGCTGGTCCCAAGGTAACCTCTCTTCATAGCTGGGAGGCTTATGCCGCTGTTTCCCCTCCACCTCAACTGCCTCCCACTCCCCCCTAGCCATTTGTGCTTCATGCTGTGGCTGCAGAACTGTCTTCACACTCAGTTGCACCTTGACCTTCCCACCCCCCACCAAGCCCTGACAAGCTCTCCCCAATTCTGCCCCCATGGGAGGAATAAGATGCTAGCCTATGGTGTAGGGCCCAGACTTGAGACCCTGATTGTTCCTGTGACTCCCCCAACTAGGGTCCCGCTGGTGAACGTGGTTCTCCTGGCCCTGCTGGCCCCAAAGGTTCTCCTGGTGAAGCTGGTCGCCCTGGTGAAGCTGGTCTGCCTGGTGCCAAGGTGAGACCCCAGCCCTCCCCCGAGCTTGGGAAGGCCAAGGACCCTGCCCATCCTGTGCAGGGTCCAGGCTGAGATGCCCTGGAGCCGACCGTGGATCTGCCCTCTGGGGAGCCCCCACCCCAGCCTCCACCCTCCTACCCCTTTCTCTCTTCTCCCCACCCACTCACTCTTCTCTGCCTCCCTTTTAGGGTCTGACTGGAAGCCCTGGCAGCCCTGGTCCTGATGGCAAAACCGGCCCCACTGTAAGTTCTCCCCCTCTGGGCCCCCCACAGTCCTGACCACCCGCCCCCAGCCCTCATCTCTGCTCTTGTGCCTTCCACTCCCAGGGACCTGCTGGTCAAGATGGTCGCCCTGGCCCCCCCGGCCCCCCTGGTGCCCGTGGTCAGGCTGGTGTGATGGGATTCCCTGGACCTAAAGGTGCTGCTGTGAGTATTCAGTGAGGAACATCACAGAGCCAGGGACAGACATGTCCAGAAGGCAGAGTCCTGGGCCCTGCACACACCTCTGCTGTGATTTGCTGTGTGGCCTCAGGCCAGTCACTGCCCCTCTCTGGGCCTCAGTTCTCCTATCCATAAATGAAACCCCTCTCCTGGCTCCACTCATGTTGCTTTATCCTTGGACATAATTAATATTGGTGCCCCGCCCACAGGGATAGAATGGGCCTTTCATATGATAGTCACCCCCAAATCCTCATGGGTTCTTTGAGGTTCAGGAGGACCTCAAAATACTGGAGGAGGTGAAGGCCCTTTGCAGCTCAGGGCCCTGCGGGCATATGGCAGAGCGAAGGAAGGGGAGAGGGTGGACAGAGGAGCCTGAAGGGGCATGTGTTCTGGCTAAGAGGGCTCTGCAGTAGGAACCAGCAAAGGCCAATCACCAGGGCCAGACCTGGCAGAGGCTTTTGGTAAGAAAACTCCTTAAAAAGATTCCACCCAGTAAACAGGAGGGACCCAGGAGTCCGGTTTCCCACGTCAGCTGTCTCAACCCTGACTTTCTTTCCCTACAGGGAGAGCCAGGCAAAGCTGGGGAGCGAGGTGTTCCCGGGCCCCCAGGCGCTGTTGTAAGTATCTCCTTTCATTCCTTGATTCCTTTCTGCTACTACCTGTGACCTGTCCCCCTCCTTGCAAGAGGGGTCACCAGGCCCTCAGGAGCCCAGCAGGGTCTGCCTGTGCCTGCCTCAGTGCTCCACCTGCGCCCTCTTCCTCCAGCCAGTCCCCACCTCACCACCCTGAGCTCTTCTTTGCTGTCTGCCCACAGGGTCCTGCTGGCAAAGACGGAGAAGCTGGAGCCCAGGGACCCCCCGGCCCTGCTGTAAGTGTCTCTGACAGGAAGGCCTGGGGATGGGGCACTGTGCAGCAGCGAAGGGGAGACAGCCCCGGCCCTCCTCTCCCGGGCTTTCCTGTGACTGCAGCGTTCTCTCCATGACAGGGTCCCGCTGGCGAAAGAGGTGAACAGGGCCCTGCCGGTTCCCCCGGGTTCCAGGTAAGGCAGCAGGCCTGCGGGGGGCTCAGGTGAAGGTGTGCGTTCCCTTTCCTTCTCTCCCAGATTCCAATCACTCTCTCTTCCCTCCCCCATTTCCCACCTACAGGGTCTCCCTGGCCCCGCTGGTCCTTCTGGTGAAGCAGGCAAACCCGGTGAACAGGTAAGAGGTAGCAGCTGAGCAGAGAGGTGGGGAATGCGGGGAACAGAGAGAAAGAGGCCAGCCCCCCTAGCTAATCAGGCAATCATCAGCTAGAGGGATCAGGGTTAGACACCTGGAAGGACTTCGCATCATGAAGGGAGCTACACAGAGGGAAGCTGGGAGCTGCACCTCTGCATGCTGTGCTCTGGAAGGAGCTGCATGCCCCTAGTTCAGAGGACTTCTTTTTAGAGAAGGGATACTATATATGCTGTAACTTCCCTCAACTGAAAGTTTGGGGAGGAGGTTCGTCTTTGACGCATCCTAAGGTGAAGTAAAGGGATAATCCCAGCTCAGTGTTGAGAAGGGGTTGGACTCTAACCACAGACCTCGAGGGCCGGCCCCCAAGAGGAGGAGGGGAGTGCTTTCCAGTGGGGAGGGCCAAGGTGGACTTTGCTAACTGTCTGTCCCTCCCTCCCCTTTAGGGTGTTCCTGGAGACCTCGGTGCCCCTGGCCCCTCTGGTGCAAGAGTAAGTAGAGCCTTTTGCTGCTCCCATCGAGAAGCTGAAGCTGGGCCCTGTCTCCGGAACTGCCGTCATGCGCCCTGTCCTTCCTTCCCCTCTAGGGCGAGAGAGGTTTCCCTGGTGAGCGTGGTGTGCAAGGTCCTCCAGGTCCTGCTGGTCCCCGTGGTTCCAATGGTGCCCCTGGCAATGATGGTGCTAAGGTGAGGGCAGCACACAGACCAGGTCTCACCCCTGCTGCAGCAGGGGATACCTGTAACCAGAGCCACCTGGGTCAGGGAAGGGTCATGGGACATGACTGGGGAAGGGTCCACAGGGAGCCTGAGGTTCTGGGCTGTGAGCCTTTCCTCATAGCTGATGCCTGTCTGTGGCCTTAGAACCAGGCCTGGGAGACAAGAAGGGGCTCAGAGCTGTGACCCACTCATGGGACCCCAGGCCTAATTCCAGGCCCCTTGGTTGTCATCCAGGGTGATGCTGGTGCTCCCGGAGCCCCCGGTAGCCAGGGCGCCCCTGGCCTTCAGGGAATGCCTGGCGAACGAGGTGCAGCTGGCCTTCCAGGCCCTAAGGGCGACAGAGTAAGTGCAGCCCCCTCCCCTGAGCCACGTGGGATTCCCATCTCCCTGCTTTGGATCCCTCGGCCTCTCTTTCTCTTCCCTGGGATCACTCCCTCTTTTTAATCCTCCCTTCTGCCCACCTGGCCTCTTTGCTGATGAATCCTCCTCCTATGGTCCAGGTTCTTCCCTCCCCATGAGCTACCATGGCAACTAGATGTGGGGCCTCTCCTCCCTTACTCATCCCTCTCCGAAAGGCAGACACTTCTTAGCCCAGCTTCCACCAGAATCCCACACAGACACTTTTTCCCCTGAAAGATCTTAAGTCCTCAGCACAGGCGGGGACAGAGCTGGGGAGGGGCCCAGACGCAAGCAGGGTGCTACGGCTCACCTCCTTGCTCTGCCCTGGAAGTCTCAGGCTTTCCCATGTCGTTAGGGCGATGCTGGTCCTAAAGGTGCTGATGGTTCTCCTGGCAAAGATGGCGTCCGAGGTCTGACTGGCCCCATTGGTCCTCCTGGCCCCGCTGGTGCCACTGGTGACAAGGTGAGGTGGCTGCCTCCCCACCTTCTTCCCTAAAACACACCTTCCCCAGCAAGCCTGGGCATGGCTCTGCAGAGAGGGAGGTCCTGCCATTCTGAGTTAGCAACCTGGGAGCTGGGGAGACCAGAAGGGAAGGGAGGTGCACCTGGGTGAATTCAGGGTGCATCTGCTGGGAATATTCAGGGTGCACCCCTGACCCTGAGCCTCTTGCCCCCACTCTCAGGGTGAAAGTGGTCCTAGCGGCCCTGCTGGTCCCACTGGAGCTCGTGGTGCCCCCGTAAGTATAGAAGACCTGGTTAAGGCCCAGTTCTCCCCCTGGGCCTCCTCCCCCTTTGCCCCCACACCCTCTGCCCTGGGACTGCTCCTCAAGGCACCTCCTCCCCCTCTACTCTACCTCACTCCACCTTCCCCATATCAGGACCTCTCTCCAGTTTGCTCCTTTTCTTCTAGGGAGACCGTGGTGAGCCTGGTCCCCCTGGCCCTGCTGGCTTCGCTGGCCCCCCTGTAAGTACCAAGGCCCCTTTCATTTTCCATCACTAGCTGGGTCCCAGGACCTTGGGGGACTGGATGAGGACAGAGACATCGGCCTGAGCTGAGGAAGGAGAAGGCAAAGGGCCTGTGTCCCGTTTGAGTTACTGCCCTTCCCCAGCCCTGTGGAGTCACCCGACTCCCTACCCTGGCATAGCCCTCTCCGCGCTCACCACCCTCCCTCCTCCCCCAGGGTGCTGATGGCCAACCTGGTGCTAAAGGTGAACCCGGTGATGCTGGTGCTAAGGGCGATGCTGGTCCCCCTGGCCCTGCTGGCGCTGCTGGCCCCCCTGGCCCAATCGTGAGTATCTCATCCTCTGGGCCCCGAGCTGCAGGTAGGCCTGGACCCAGGACTGGCCTGGCCTTGACACCTCTCTGCTCTTCTACAGGGTAACGTTGGTGCTCCTGGACCCAAAGGTGCTCGTGGCAGTGCCGGCCCCCCTGTGAGTATCTCACTGCCCCATGCTGGGACTCTCTCAAGCCCATCTTTGGAGGTGGGGCAGCCGGGCTGTTGGGGGGCTCTTCTCCTGACTTCTTCATCCTCTTCTGCCAGGGTGCTACTGGCTTCCCTGGTGCTGCTGGCCGAGTCGGTCCCCCCGGCCCCTCTGTAAGTACCGGTGGCACATGCTCTTGGGGGTGGAGGCCACAGGCTGTCAAGAGGGTGGTAGACCCATCTGAGGTTTCAGTGGTGCTCCAGAATCCACTGGAATCTGACAACCCCTCTTCTCCCCATCCAGGGAAATTCTGGACCCCCTGGCCCTCCTGGCCCTGTTGGCAAAGAAGGCGGCAAAGGTCCCCGTGGTGAGACTGGCCCCGCCGGACGTCCCGGAGAAGTCGGCCCCCCTGGTCCCCCTGGCCCTACTGGCGAGAAAGGATCTCCTGGTGCTGATGGACCTGCTGTAAGTGCGAGCTCCGTAGGGGTCCGGGGTAGGCGCCTGGTCCCCAGCCTCTGTGAGGCACCTCACCCCCGTCTGCCTTGTACAGGGTGCTCCCGGAACTCCTGGACCTCAGGGCATTGCTGGACAGCGTGGTGTGGTCGGCCTGCCCGGTCAGCGAGGAGAAAGAGGCTTCCCTGGTCTTCCTGGCCCCTCTGTGAGTGCCCTTTACTTTGGGGGTCCTAAGAACCGTCACAGGACTTGGAGGGTACAGGGTGGGGGTGGGGAGGCCAGCGATGACAGATGTGAGATGTGGTAGATGAGCCACCGGCCCTGGGGCCCTTCCCCGCCCACCCCACCTCTGGCCTGATTCCTTCTTCTCCCTTAGGGTGAACCTGGCAAACAAGGTCCTTCTGGATCAAGTGGTGAACGTGGCCCCCCTGGTCCCATGGGCCCCCCTGGATTGGCTGGACCCCCTGGCGAGTCTGGACGTGAGGTGAGCGGTCAGCAGCCCCATGCCAGTACCAAGGCCATTTTGGCCTTTGCCTGAGCAGCCCCCCTCCCCCAGTTGTCACTCACCTCCCCCTTCTCTCTATAGGGATCTCCTGGTGCTGAAGGCTCCCCCGGAAGAGATGGCTCTCCTGGCCCCAAGGTGAGATGGCTGCACCCCAGAGCCACAGCCCGCCTGCCACTCCCTGCCCCGGCCTGGCCCCTTCAGCTTGGGCTTAATCATTTCCCCCCTCTTTGCCTCCTAGGGTGACCGTGGTGAGACAGGCCCTGCTGGACCCCCTGGTGCTCCTGGAGCTCCTGGTGCCCCTGGCCCCGTCGGCCCTGCTGGCAAGAATGGCGATCGTGGTGAGACTGTAAGTAGTTGAGCACCAGCCTGCTGCTTCTGGTCAGGCCAGGGACTCCCCAGGCCTGCCTCGGGACCTGTAGATCGAGATCTGACTTCTCCCAGGCTGGGGGAGGAGAGGACATCTTACAGTATGTCCTCCCTGAAAAGACGGAGCCACAGCTCCACCTCAAGGCCCTTCTCAGATGGTGCCCCATCTCCCTTAAGGAATGGGTTTGTCCCCAGGCACTTGCCCAGCTCACATGAAACCTCGACTCACAGGAAGTTTCATCTGGGGCTCAGGAGAGATGGATGTGGTGGGAAAAAAGGACCTGGCCAAGGGGTGGTCTCACCCTGTCGCTAGGCTGTAGTAGGTTCTAATGCTCTCTCTGCTCTCCCCAGGGTCCTGCTGGTCCTGCTGGTCCCATTGGCCCTGTTGGTGCCCGTGGCCCTTCTGTAAGTGTTCCGCTATGGCCTGCATGTCCTCAGAACCCTTGTCAAGATGTGGACTGCACCCCACTCAGTGCTAGTGGACCTTCCATTGACAGCCTGTCCCCTCCCCTTTTCTAGGGACCTCAAGGCCCACGTGGTGACAAGGGTGAGACAGGCGAACAGGGTGACAGAGGCATAAAGGGTCACCGTGGCTTCTCTGGTCTCCAGGGTCCCCCTGGCCCTCCTGTAAGTATGCTCAGCCCCAACTTGGCCCCCTGCTGCCATTGAACCTTCTCTCATCACCTCCCCCTACAAGCCTTGCTGTACCATGGTGGGGGGACTCTTTGCCTCAGTTTCCCCTCTGGATAGTCATTCTTACCCCTTCCTAGTGGGTACTGGGGTCTGACAGTCTACGGGCATTTCCAAGGGACTTCAGAGAGGGTGAGGAGTGCATGAAGAGGGATTGTGGGAGGAGTGTCAACCAGTGGACGCCTTGGAACTGCATGCCCAGAGTAAGGAGACAGGACAGGCTTCTGGCAGTGTTTGTCCCACACAAGGCCTGAATTGCCCTTGCGTTTGTCCTTCAGGGCTCTCCTGGTGAACAAGGTCCCTCTGGAGCCTCTGGTCCTGCTGGTCCCCGTGTAAGTCATGCCTTCTACCCATGTCCTCTTCCTGGGCCCCAGGCCCAGGCTCACCTCAGGGCCCTTTGCCTGGGACATGGGTGTCTCTCACCAATCTGGGGAAGTGTCCGGGGGCAGGGGTGGGGAAGGGAAGGAGAGTCCCGGACAATCTTACCTGTCCCCAGACTCACCCTCCCTGCTCCCTCCACCCACAAAATGTTTCCTGGCCAGGCCCTGGGAATGAGCAAGAATGAGGCCATGGTGCCAGAGCCCGGCAGAGAGGTGGTGGGCTTCTCCGCCAGAGTTCGGGTGGTCCTGTGGTTTCTAGCAGGTTTTCTCCAACCATCTTCCACCTTGCAGGGTCCCCCTGGCTCTGCTGGTTCTCCTGGCAAAGATGGACTCAATGGTCTCCCAGGCCCCATCGGCCCCCCTGGTCCTCGTGGTCGCACTGGCGATGCTGGTCCTGTGGTATGTAGCCCCCAGCCCGCCCGCCTGTGGCCCTCCAGCCCTGAGAGCGCTGGCACCGAGTAATCCCGCTCTCTCCTCCCTCTCTGTGCAGGGTCCCCCCGGTCCTCCTGGGCCGCCTGGTCCCCCTGGTCCTCCCAGCGGCGGTTTCGACTTCAGCTTCCTGCCCCAGCCACCTCAAGAGAAGGCTCACGACGGCGGCCGCTACTACCGGGCTGATGATGCCAATGTGGTCCGTGATCGTGACCTCGAGGTGGACACCACCCTCAAGAGCCTGAGCCAGCAGATCGAGAACATCCGGAGCCCCGAAGGCAGCCGCAAAAACCCCGCCCGCACCTGCCGTGACCTCAAAATGTGCCACTCCAACTGGAAGAGCGGTGAGGGGCTGCCCCGGCCACACCCCCGCCTCTTCCTCCTCTTCCTGCCTGTGTCACGGCTGAGCAATCGGGGCCCCCGAACCCACTGGGGTCCCCCACCACACCTCCCCTGACTCCATCTTACCCTGCCCCACACAGGAGAATACTGGATTGATCCCAACCAAGGCTGCAACCTGGACGCCATCAAGGTCTTCTGCAACATGGAGACAGGGGAGACCTGCGTGTACCCCACTCAGCCCAGCGTGGCCCAGAAGAACTGGTACATCAGCAAGAACCCCAAGGACAAGAGGCACGTCTGGTATGGCGAGAGCATGAGCGGAGGATTCCAGGTACGTGAGCTGGATCCTGGAGCCACTCTTACTAGACGGGCTGGCCGGGGCAAGAGGTAAGGTCCTGGGTGGGCTTGGCCTCTGCCAGTGTGACAGGGAGAGCTGGGCTGGGAGGCAGGGGTCCTGGGTCCCTGGTAATGGCTCAGACACAAGATGCCGTAGGAGGCAAGTGGTAATACCTCTGGATGGGGGGTTCACTGGGGTGCCCTCAGAGGACTCCAGGGAGGGAGGCCAGGACTAGAGGCTCCAGCACGGTCTCTCACTCCTCACCCTCTTCATCCCGGACAGTTCAATTACGGCGGCCAGGGCTCCGATCCTGCCGATGTGGCCATCCAGCTGACTTTCCTGCGCCTGATGTCCACTGAGGCCTCCCAGAACATCACCTACCACTGCAAGAACAGTGTGGCCTACATGGACCAGCAGACTGGCAACCTCAAGAAGGCCCTGCTCCTCCAGGGCTCCAACGAGATCGAGATCCGGGCCGAGGGCAACAGCCGCTTTACTTACAGCGTCACCTACGACGGCTGCACGGTGAGTCCCAGGACAGAGCCACTCTGTGGGCTTTGGCTTTCCTGCCAAGCCACAGTTCCTGTCACCCCGTCGCCCCCACATGGTGACACCCTCTCCCATTGTCTCCCCTTAACCCCAGAGTCACACCGGAGTTTGGGGCAAGACAGTAATCGAATACAAAACCACCAAGACCTCCCGCTTGCCCATCATCGATGTGGCCCCATTGGACATTGGCGCTCCCAACCAGGAATTCGGCTTTGACGTTGGCTCTGTCTGCTTCCTGTAAACTCCCTCCACCCCAACCTGGCTCCCTCCCACCCAGCCCACTTGCCCCTGACCCTGGAAACAGACAAACAACCCAAACTGAACCCCCCAAAAAGCCAAAAAATGGGAGACAATTTCACATGGACTTTGGAAAATATTTTTTTCCTTTGCCTTCATCTCTCAAACTTAGTTTTTATGTTTGATAAAAAAAAAAAAAGAATAAATAAATAACTTTTTAAAAAAGGAAGCTTGGTCCACTTGCTTGAAGACCCATGTGGGGGTAAGTCCTTTTCTGCCCGTTGGGCTTATGACACCCCAATGCTGCCCTTTCTTCTCTTTTCTCCATCCCTCTTTGGGGGACTCCCCTCTGCTGCTCCCCAAATCTAAGTCTCCCCAAAAGACACAAGAAACAATGCATTGTCTGCCCAGCAACTAAAGGCAATCCTTAAATACCCAGTGGTCCCCAAGCTCCCAGCCCACTCCCCTCACTCAGCACCCCCAAACTCTTGGGGGGCCTGGGGTTTTCAGACTGCCGAAGAAGCCTTACCATCTGGTATCGCCATGGCCCCTGCACCATACCCCTCTTCGGTTTTGATGGGCATGCCAGGGGATCACTGCCCCTGGAGGAGAATCAGGAGGGGCCAGGACAGATCGGAAACATTGGATTCGGGGCGGCACATGGACCCCCACGCAGCCTGCAGCGGGGCTAGGTGGGAGAGACTGCTCTGTTCCTCATGTAACTGTGTTGCTGAAAGACTACCTCTTCCTGTCTTTATATGTCAGCGGGGCAACTGCGTGGGGGCGGGGATGGGGGCAGGGTGGAAGGGGCGCCCCATTTTATATCAAAGGTGCTACATCTCTGTGATGGGGTGGGGTGGGGAGGGAATCACTGGTGCTATGGAAGTCGAGATGCCCCCCACCCCCCAGGCCAGCAAATGTTCCTTTTTGTTCAAAGTCTTTTTTTATTCTTTGTTTTTTTCCCTTGTGGATGGGGATTCATGTGAATTTTCTGAAGGTGCTATTTAACATGGGGGGAGAGAGTGCCATGGTCTAGATGGTGCCACATCCTTTCCACCCTCTCTCCACCTCTGCGGCTGCCTCCACCTCCTCAGGCCTCTCTCTCTCCCCCTCTCCTCTGACCCTCTCCTCAGCTGCACCCCACCATCACGGCCTCTCATCGTCTCTCCTGTGTCCTCTCTCTGCCCCAGTGTCAGCACAACTTCCCAAAGCACAAAGCGGTTTTCCCCCTAGGGGTGGGAGGAAGCAAGACTCTGTACCTATTTTGTATGTGTATAATAATTTGAGATGTTTTTAATTATTTTGATTGCTGGAATAAAGCATGTGGAAATGACCCAAACATATTTGCCGTGGCCTCCTAATTTCCTTCCTTGGAGCCTGGGGAGGGAGACCTGGGGGAGGGAGCTCTGAGTGGGTGGGTGGGCTCTCCTGTTTCTTGCCCCTTTCCTCCCCCTACCCTGCCCCCCTCTACCAGCACCCTCCATGATCCCTCCCCCTTCCTCTCGCCTTTTTTATGCTTTAATCCTTTTCCTTTCCTCTCTCATGCAATCTTCCTTCCAAAGGCTCTTTTCCCTTACAGTGCCATACTGCAACCCACTGCTGCAGCAACACACATGCACGCATGCACTGCCTCTGGGCCACTGGAAGTTCCAGCCTGGGAAAGGGAGGTGGGGCTGGAAGCCCCGCAGCAGGGCCTCTCCCCAGGCAAACAGGCAGGGCCATCCCGCCTCCCTCTGTTTCCACCCTCTCTGAGCTCCTTCAAAGGAGCAACAAGCAGTGGAGCACCCAGGGGTTGGAGAGCTTGCCCTGAGGGCCTGTGAGGAGACCCAGAGGAAGGAAGGCCTCCGGCTCAGTCTCCTGGGCTCCCAGAGGGAGGAGGGGGCAAGCCAGCCCAGCCCTCAGGAGAGTCTGTCCTGGGGCCTTGGAGAGCTGCGGTCTGGGCCCAGCCCAGGCACACACAGGCTGCTAGCAGGAAGGCGACAGGCCCTGCCCCTGCGGAGTGTGTACTGGGGTCTCCCTCAGCCCTGTAAATCCCCATGACACCAGACCTCCTGGCTGTGGGGTGGCCGGGGAGGTCCTTTTGCCCAGACCCTGCCTCCTGCCCATTCCTTACTCCTTTTAAAATGCTTGTTTCCTCTTCCTCCTTCTTTTCCCTTTCTTTTCCCCTCGCCCTCAGCCTGCCTGAGAACCTGAGGTGCCCGGAAGAAAGGCAACCGAGCAGCTCCCCAGTCCCAGGGAAAGGGGACAGTGGTGAGCGGTCACCAGGACATAGAGGAGTCAGAGAGTCCAAAGTCTGGAGCAGAGCAGGTACCCAAAGACCTGGAGGCAGGGAGAAGTTGACAGCTGTCACCCCTCCCACCCAGGGTCTCAGGGCCTAAGCCTCAAAGGCAGGAAAGGCCCACGTCCCTCTGTCTTGTCTACAGAGAGATGGGCAAGTCTACAGAGGCTGTCATCTGCAAATGCTGTGGCTGTCATTAAGTAGTCATGGCTATTAATTATAGCCTTTAATAATTCATCGTTAGTGCTTCTAGCACAATTGGGACAGTGTAGAAAGGGAATTAGTCTAGAGAAGTTAAGAAATGATGACAATAATGAAAGTTTATTCATGTGTAAATAACCCAAAGCTAAGTGGTGATCCACGATCCACTGATTAACCACTGATTGATTGGTGATGGCTCCCTGACACTGCCAGGTGACCCCCATCTATCTGGACCTTGAGCCCCTGGGGCCCCTGGTCTTCTCAGCCCCATCCCCACCTGCCCCCACAGGACATCCAAGGCTCTATCTGGCCACTACCTACCTGTCATTCTCACAGTCCCCTCCTTTGCCCACAACTGTCACACCAGCCAAAAAAGGTGACTGCAGTCCCTGCATATGCACCACTTTTCATTTCCAGGCCTTTCTTTTTGCCTTTTCCTCTGCCCTAATCTCTGCTTGCTCCACCCCTTACCCTCAGGACCATGCTCAAACCTCTCCTGTCCCCTCTTTCTCCTGCCCAGCCCTGGCTGAATTTGCCCCTTCTGAGTTTCCAAAGCTCTTCAAAATTAATCTTGGCCTTAATACCAGACACTGTTGCCATCTTACGCTGTCACGTTTTCACCCTGTTATTCCTTCCAGGCCTAGCGGAGTTGGCCATGGTCAGAAGCCAGGTGCTGCAATGCCGGGTGGGCCCGGGGGCCATGCACAGATACCGGGAGACTAATGAGAAAGGAAAAAAGACAGAGAGGCAGTCCTTCTAGGTGAGAGTGTAGAGCTGGGTGCCTTCAGGAACAGGCGTGAGCAGGCAAGCGGAAGAAGGGGTGAAAACAAGCCTCTGATTTGGTGGTCAGGGAGCAGACAGTGGTGGGAGGCCCTCGGCCAGCGCTTCCTGCAGCTACGACGTGTGCTCTGTCTGTGCCTTCTGATATGGTACCCACTAGCCACATGTGGCTCTGGAGCACTTGACATGTGGATCAATTTTTCATTTTAACTATAATTAATGTTAATAGCTACATGTGGCTAGTGGCTACCATATTGGGCAGCGCAGCTCCAAGCAAAGGAGTGAATATGCCTCTCACTACATATGTGCAAATCTACACGTGGGATCACGAATGTGTGTCTGTGTGGGCATGCACATATGAGGGCACATGAGGTGACAGTGCATGTCAGGGCTATGGTGGTGGCAGACTGTGTGACAGTGGCCCTCTGTGCAACTCAGTGCCTGTTCACATGGTGTGAGGCCAGAATGTGGTTTCAGTGTGTGTGCAGGACAGGAGGGGAGGGGACAAAGGGGCCATTGTACTACATTCCTGACTCAAGCCCTCCTCTCCGCTGACATCACGGCTGCCCTAAATACAGCTTCCCAGACCTGCTCCCCCAGACCCTGGCTGCCCTCTGCGTTCCAGCACTGCTCCATGGGGCTCACCTTTGTCTTCTCTGTAGGAGATAAGCTGTGTTCCTGTGCCTGAGTTTTTAGTCAAATCCAGATGGAAAATTCTAGAGAAGAAGGAGGTCTCTTGGATTTTTTATTTTTGCTGCTCTCAGAATCCTGGGACCCTTTTGTGGTGTGAATCCAGCTCCTGGCAGGATCTTCTACCACCACAACATGACGGATTTTCCCTCCTTTTCTCCCCAAATCCTAATCCTCAGCTTCCCAGGTGCTTCCAAGACGTTCCTGGGTGGAGCTGAGTGAGGTCGAGGAGGTGAGAGGTTGAGAGGGAGCTTCCAGGCTGGAGAGTGGGGGCCTCAGGAGCGGGGGCGTGTGGGGCTGTGTGTGGAACAGGAGCAAGTGAGGGGCTGCTCAGAGCCAGGACCCCCAGGGAGGAGGCACAGTGGCCGGGAGTGTGGGAGGCCATGTGAGTGAGTGGTGGGTCCAAGCCAGCTGTCCCTGGGTCTCATCCCTGGGCAAGAATGTCTCACTCTCTGGGTGCCCACCCACTCATGAACAAACATGCCTGTATTCAAAGGGGCCCTACACCCCTGTGGTGTGTTGGGGATGGGTGGGGGTCTGTAAATGTGGGGACAGCTTCCCCGCACATGGCAGAAGAAAAGATGTTGAGTGAACTAGGAACACATGGGTCTAGCATTTGGGATGTGTGTGTGCGTAGGCACAACAGGGGCCCTAGGAGGGTCTGTCTGTATGACTGACGATGAACAGGCAGGTGGAGCGGGGTGGAGTGTGAGAAAAATGAGGAAAGGCTGGGTGTGGGGGGCCCACCAGAAAAGCCTGGGCCAGTGGAGCTCGCGTGTGGGTGAGCAGCAGCACCTCGGTGTCCCCTTCCTGGCGTGTGCTCCAGAGGGTACCAAGTGGAGCTGGGGGATGTCCACAGACCAGGAGGCAAGACCCTGGAAGAAAGATGGCCCTTGTCTAGGAGGGTACCTGGATACCTACACACACAGAGATTTCAAGGCTTTGTAGAGGATGCGCGTGGCAAGGCCCGGAGGGAGGTAAGTATGAAGGCGCTGGAAAGAGTGAGGTTTTCTCTGCCTATGACGGTGGGAGGGAGAGGAAGATGGGTGGGGTGGGGACCAAAGCACATTTTTGAACAAGGAGACCACATATTCAGACGACTCCTCTACTGTGGAGTAAGCCCCTGCAGCTCTCCAAGGCTTTGGAAAACTCTGGTGCATGCACAGAGGCCCGGTGTGAGCAGGCATTCCGGAGAGAGAAGGCAACGGGCTGAGCTCTGGGTTTGGGTCCAGTGGAGTGGAGATCAAGGAAGTGCCACGAAACTGGTGCTGCCCAATCAAAATATAATGCAAGCCATGTATGTAATTTTCCATTCTGGAGCAGCCATATTTAAAAAAATGAAAAGGAACAGGGGAATTTAATTTTAATGATGTATTTTATTTAACTCAATGTTTGTCCAAATATCATTTCATCATTACATTTGCAGCACCCAGTGTGGACTGGCCACATTGCCAGCTCTCAGTGGTTGCACGTGGCCAGCTCAGCCCTGGGCAGCAGATCAGCGCCAAGGAGCAGACGAGCTTCAGCCTCACCCCAAACTCACAGAGCTGGAACTCTTCCCCCAGGGAGCAGCATGTAATTAGAGCTCATTTAATCTGGATCTTGGGAGCAGGGAGACCCCACCAACCACTGGGTTTGGGGTGATCATTCCAGTGTGTGTATGTGATAGGAGCTGCTGGAGGCCAGGCACTTGCCCACCCCTCACAAAGCCTCGCAGCAGGGAGAGTTAGTTGAGGCCATTATGATCAACACGTCAGAGCTGTCATCGGAGCCCTGCTCAGACCCTGACCCCAGACATAACCCAGGGAGCTGGCTCTCTGAAATGGCATGTATGCAGGCATGTGTGTGTGTGTGTGTGTCTGGGAGGCGTGGGGGCTGAGGCTGAGTAGGCAGTGCCCTGCATCCCCATGCCTGGCAGAGATCCTCTTACCAAATGGGAGGTGGGGAGATGGCCACAGGTGGGGCTCTGTTTAGGGGGTACAGGATCATGTGGGCAGTGCCTGCTGTGGGACTGAAGCAGCTGAAGGTGGAGCATAATGTGAGTCTGAGTCTCAGGGTGGTGGTACAGGGACACTGTGTGACACTGTCTTTGGCAGTAACATGTTGGGGGTGGAATCTTACCCCTCAGTGAGCAGAGGGGTGCCGAGTGCTCTGCCTCCCCATGTACTGTCAGGGGTGGCTGGGCACGTGTGTGTCCAGGCATGGCTGGGTACCCTCTGTAGTCACGCCATCCTGCCAGCTGCTTGTCTGGGCCACTTCCTCCCAGGCTGGCAGCCAGGCTCCCATGTGCTCCTTGGAGTTGAACGGGGGAGAATGCGCTGCCAAGATGCCAAAGCAGAGCTGGAAAGCAGAGGGAAGCGAGGGGCTGGCCTAGAACTCTCCATCCCTGGCAGGGAAGGGAAGAGCACGGACCTGTGGCCCAGCAGCAGGGAAGGGAGCACAGAGACAGGGAGAGGCCTGCCCCCTCTTCAAGGAAGAGCCACCTCAGACAGAAGGCTAGCTGCTTGGATCCTCCAATCTGATCAGATTCTGTGCAAAGCCTGGCTTCGGCCAGACTAGGGACTGCCCGGGGAAGGAGGACACCCTGAATGAGAAAGCAGAGGCTCCCTCTTGTCCAGAACCCATGTGGTTGGGAAGGGCACCCAAAGAACATTCAGTCAACCAGTGTCTATCAGCAGATACACTGTGTCCCCTCTGAACCTTGCCTGCCCCCACAGGTTTCTATGGGATTGATTATTAGCTGAGAGTAAGCAATGCCTGGCGGGAGGGGGATGAGAACAGAATGGCAGAGCCTTAGCAATGGCCTTGCTCACCCCCTTTGCCCAGAGAGGAGAAGCGACCTCCTTAAGAGCTCTGAGTACACCCAGACCTGCAGGTCTGCTTCAGAATGTGCCTCCTGTGCAGGCACTGCAGCCCCAGGGGCACAGGCACCCTTGCAGGGCATGTCCTCCCAGAGAGTGAGGAGAGCTGGGCAGCATGCCCCAGAGGCCACAGCCGGAGCAGCTCTGAGGAGGGAGGCCTCCCCAGGATGCTGCCATCTGGGCAGAGACCAAAGGAGCCCAGTGAGAGAGGAGCTGTAACCATGGGAGCTGGGGGTTCCCAGCAGAGGGGACAGCAGGGGCAAAGGCCCCGAACAGCATGGTGAGATGCCGTGTGTGGCTGCAGCAGACACGTGACGAGGTCAGAGGGGTGGACACAGCCTGTGCCCCTGGGCAGAGTGTGGATTCCATTCTCAGTGGGCAGGGAAGGCACTGGACAGTCAGGGGTAGGGGGCAGTGCAAGACACCCTGATTTTTCCTTTTAAAGGATGGGTCCATGTCCTGTTGGAGACGAGACTGGAGGGGGCAGGGAGGGCAGGGAGACCATGGGAAAGCACTGCAGGGGTCCAGGAGCAGGCCCTGGGTGCTGGACTGGGAAGGTCAGAGCGACAGCAGGAGAGGTGGAGGGATTCAGCACCTATTTCCAAGGTGGAGATTCCTAGGAGTGAGAGAAAGGAGATGGGGCCAGGGCAGTTAGGGGCCCTCACAACCCCTTTGCCTATACATACATTTCTGAACGTGGGAAGCAGGTCCCTCCTCAGGGATCCTTGGCCCAGGAGGCACCACCATTAGGCTCACTCCACCCTCCCACATCAGCCCAAGCTGGGGTCCCTGTCTCCAGGTAAGGGAAACTCCCTGTGCATCCCCCGATCTCCACCCCAGGAACAGAAGACTGAGAGTCAGCTCCAGGACAGTGGGTGGATCCCCGGCCTCGCCCGTGAACTCAAAAAGGGATTTAGAGGCCCAGGATGGGGGATGTCTTGCTCTTGTTTGGATTCTCTTGGAGTTGCCTTCTGGAGCCAGGGTCTGGGGCCTGGGCTACAAGTCCTTGCTCCTCTGCTCTCCCTCCATTATCTGGGTCTGTTCCATCTTTAGCTGGGTCCGGCTTGGTCTTTGGCTTGTCCTCCCAAGGGAGGGGTCAGAGGTGAGATGGGGCATGGCTCAGGTGGCTGTGGGCAGTGGGCTTTGGTTGTTGGCACCTGGGAGAAACCAGCTCAGGTCTTTTCCTGAGTGGCTGAGCATGCTACTCAGCTTGACAAGGGTTCTGGGCCCTGCAGTGTCCTCTGGACCCCCGGCTTGCCCTGGGGAAGCCCGCCAGGAAGGGGTCACCGAGCCTGGGCATGCAGAAGCCTGCATCCCAGCCCCTCTCCCCATATCTGGCTGGATTCTTTCTTTACAAAGGGGTGCTCCCTGCAGGGAATCCAGACAGGTGAAAGCCTGGCTCTCCTGCTTCCAGAACCCCTCACTGGTCCAGAAAGCTGTGTGGAGGTGGACATGCCAAGTTTGAACCCAAGCTCTGCCACTTGTTGCTCTGTGAACTTGGGTAAGTCACTTACTCTCCCTAGGCCTGCAGTGTCCTTGTCTATAAAATGGGGATAAAGATCTAGCAATTCCTTACTGATAGGTTCATGTGAAGATTAAGACCAGGGCCACACATAGCAGGTCCTTCCCCGTTTTTTCCAGAGAAATTGAGGAAACAACGAAATGCCAAGGGTCCAAAGCAGCTGGCTGCCTCTGGGGTCTCCCAGAAGGCAGAAAGGGAAACAGAGGCAGTGGGGACTGGGGAGGAGGGAGGCTGCTGAGAAGAAAGGGCTGCAGCAATAGGTGAGCAGAGTGGCAGGTATTTATTTACTCAGGAGTCCTGGGCCCAGACACCCTCACCCCATCCCCATCTCTCTGCTTATTCCAGGTCTGGGGACCACTGGGCCGGGAACTGGAATCAGGAGGAAGGATGTGGCTGTGGGTCGCGGCTGCTCCATGTATGGGCAGAGAGGGAGGATGAGGCCAGGACTCGAACTGGAATAGCAGAGGGAAGAGAGAGCTGGGAGCAGGGAGGACCAGTCCCTGAATCTCCTGCCTTCCCCACCCTGACCCTCTGACCCCAAATGCTTGGCATGGGGGGGAGGGAGCATAGCACTGGCACTGCTCACACCCCCACCACTGCCTCAGAGGGGCAGGCAGGTCTGTGTGCCCTTCCCTTGACCTCTCCCATCCCCCACCACCTGCCCCAGCCTACAGACAGAGGCCACCTTGTGTCCAGAAATGAGGCCAGCGCTCCCCAGCCAGACCCACCTGGGCAGGATCTCAGTGCTGGTCCAGGATGAGGGGCACCTGGGCACCATCCACCTGGGGAGGCAGCCGCTCGCCTGTGCGCACGTTGAACATGGGCAGCGTGGAGAGGGGCCGGGGCACCTGCCGGCTGGCTGCCATGTGCCGCAGCTCCTGTGTGTTCCCGTGGATGGTGCAGTGGTGTACCATCTGAATACTGGGGCACAGGGTTGGTGAGCTGTCACCTCCACATGCCAGCCTCCCATGGGCCCACCTGGCACTGCCTCTGCAGTCTTCCCCACTTGTTATGTGTGGGGACTCACACATGTGACAGGCATGGGGAGGACGGACAGCAAGGTCTTTGGCACCACCTCAGTGCCCAGGGACTGAAGCATGGGCTCTGGGTGCAGACAGCCTGGGTGCAAAGCTGTGTATCCTTCATACTCTGTGCCTCAGTCTCTTCAACTGCACAATGCAGATAATAACAGAATCTACCTCCAGCATTGTGGTGGAAATTAAATGAGAAAATGCAGGCTGGGTGTTTAGAAAAGTGCCTGGTACTTGGTAAGGGCTCCCAAAATACTGAGACATGAATAGATACAGTGGATATGCACATCAGAGGCTAGTGTGTGCTGCGCTTTGACTGGTGACCACCTGCTAGGGCCCTTCTAGCCCTCACCTCCTTCCCCCAGCCCTCTCTGCCTCCACGGAGAAGCCATCCTCCTCCCCACCCCCATCCCTGTCTTAGTCTAGCAAACCTACCCCACCACTTTTACCTGCCTCCTGGCTTTTGTGCAAGCTGCTTCCTGCCAAGCCTGCTCATCTTTTGGCTCCTCAGACCTGTCCTCTGCTCTCTCTGCACCCTGACCCTTCCCATCTCCACCCCAGGATGCCCCCAGCACTGACGCTGAGCCTTCTCTCTGTCTTTCAGAGGCCCGCCTGGGCCTCCACCCTCAACAGGCCTGAGATCCCAGTGGCACTGAGTGAACTGACTGCCACACCCATGGGGAAAATCCTTCCTGAGGTCTAACTCATTTCTCTTCAATAAGGCTCAACCTTATTCTCATTTGACATTCTCCTGGGCTTGCTTTCTGCTGTCCAGAGGCAGGCTTTGGTTCATTCTGAGAAACAGGCTAGCACCATGGTTAAACATGAGGCCTTGCTTTGGGTGTGAATGGGAGTTCCACTGTTTACTTGCTGTGTGACCTTGTGAAAGTTACTTAATCTCTCTGTGCTGCGGTTTCCTCTTTCATGCAGTTGCATGAATTAAATGAGTTAATAATACAGGAAGAACATTTAGGTGTCTCCTGGTCAGCATGCAGCCAGTGGTAGCTATTATTATAGGGAGCCTTCTTGCTATCATCATCATCAGTGTCATTTTATTATGGTGGCCCACTGATGAACTTGGCTTCCAGTGGAAGGATGAACCCTCCCACACCTGTGTGCCCAGTGTGGAGACATTTTCCTAGACTAGCAGGTTTCCTGGTCAGACAGACCACAGGGACTTTTCATTACAAACAGTAAGAAACGGTTTTCTTAAAGGGACAGGGGTGCCAGGCAGGGTAGAAGTACCCTAATTGCCACCCAGGTAGTGATCAGATGGAGGCGGGGAAGTGGTCCCCAGGCATGCCCAAGTTTCAGTTAGTGGACACAGACTCCTGCTAGAGCCACAGAGATTAAACTACTTCCTAGCTGCGTGCTGAATGGGCCACACGCCTCCTGGGGGCCAGGACCAAGTCCTGTCTGGCCAGCAGGAGGAGGTGGAGTCACGCTACAAGGCCAGGGGAGGGTCAAGATGAGCTCTTGAGTCTGGAATTTGGCAAGCAGAGCTGTCCAAAACACAATTTTCCATTCCCAAGCCAGGGGAAGCTGAGGGGGAAAGGGAGCAAGAAGGGTGTGGATACTGAGGGCTGCAGGCAGCCCGGCAGGTAAGGGCCCCCTGGGGGAAGGGCCCTAGTTAAGGGCCTCCTTCCTGCCCCCAATCCCACATCTGGGACTCATTACTCTGACAACACACACAGGTGGCAAAATGGGCTGGGATGTTTTCCCAGAGCAGGAGCAGAAGCCAGACCCACAGTGCGCCCCCCACCCCCACGCCCACCCTTCCACATCAGCGCTTCAGCGGACAAACGGAGGGACAGTGTTTCCTACACACACACACACACACACACACACACACACACACTCCGCCACCAACACATAGCCCCTCAATGGCACACCGACCATGGGAGACAGTCAGGATGGAGACCTTCCTGGCCACGAAATCTGACATAGACGGCAGATTCATGCTTTGTGGATAATTTGAAAAATGGCAGACATTGAATAAGCTAAAAAAAAAACTGGATTTTGTAGAAATAAATCAATACAAAATCCAATCCAACAAGGACTAATATTGCACATTGCACATGGTAAGACTGGTTATTGATTCAAAATTGATGGAGGGAGCAGATTTTCCTGACTCCGTCAGAACTACACAACTGACCCAGGAAAGGTGGCTGTGGTGGAAATTACTAGTCAGAAGAAAATATCCACAATAGCAGAATATATCATTGATATATATCAGAACTGAGGAATAAAATCCTCCCTGTTAAATTTACACAGAAAATCACTGATCCCAATGGGAGAAAATTCTATCAAACAGACATGAAAAAATAATAAAAAAGCAAAGTCTTTTCATTGCTTTGTGTATAAAGTTGATCAAGGAATTAAAGAGACTTAGGTGGATCAAGGAATTACATTTCTGGTCACCCTGGAAAATACATTCGTCATAAAAATTAATGAATTTTGGTGTAATTCTGATTCTAAAAACGTTTGTAGTCCTTGACCCAAAGTGTTGAGATAGTGGGACCAAAAAGTGGGTTTAAAACTGGGGTCTCAGACTCCAAGAATGAACTAGTGGTTACCAAAGGGGAGAGGTGTGGGAGGGCGGGTGGGGAGGCAGGGAGAAGGGGACTGAGGGGTATTATGTTTAGTACACATGGTGTGGGGGATTACGGGGAGAACAGTGTAGCACAGAGAAGGGACATAGTGGATCTCTGGCAACGTGCTGCACTGATGGACAGTGACTGCAGTGGGGTATGGGTGGGGACTTGATAATATGGGTAAATGTAGTAACCACATTGTTTTTTCATGTGAAACCTTCATAAGAGTGTATATCAATCATACCTTAATAAAAATTTTAAAAAACAAAAATAAAAATAAAACTGGGGTCTCAGAGTACCCTGAAATGGTCTGGCATGCATGCATAACCATACCGTATAGTCCACTCCTCAGGCCCACACAGACTCAGCCCTTCTTCCCAGAGTACGTGCCATGCTCACTACCTGGCATCTGCCTCCAGGGTGGAACCATGGGACTATTGTGAGCCTCACAGGATTCTGGTGGCCTCACAATGACCCCCTGAGGTCATCAAGAGATAACCTCACCAGCCCCTGAGCTTGAGGCACAAGTCTCCTGAGCCCCGTTTGGGGGATCATCCTTGGTCCTCCCTAGCCACGCCACCAGGGGAAGGCCCAGATTGAAGCCTCTCAAGGAAGCCTTTGAGGGGAGCAGGGACTGGGAGGCACCTCATCCACCAAGAGCAACCTGGTGGAGACTTCTAGCTGCCATCCTGGAGGACCTCGCACCCAGTTCCCTTCATCCTCCCCAGGGAGAGATGCAGAATGACACTTCGTTGCCCCCGCCATCTTTACCCTCGGCCTCAAATACTGCCTTGAGCACCAGCAGGCAGGCCAGCACGTCCGGACTCCCAAGCGAGAATGAGACTGACCACCATGCCTGCCTCAAAGGCCACCGGAAGCCCAGCATCTCCAAGGTGATTCTGGGGGTTGTGGCAAACAAGGGGGCACACACCCACGTATCCCTGGCCACCCTGAAGAAGGCAGTCACCACCACAGGTTACAACATGACTCGCAACGCCTGGTGCTTCAAGAGAGCGCTCAAGGGGCTGGTGGACAAGGGCATTCTCAAGCAAATGACCGGCAAGGGGGCCTCCAGTTCCTTCTGCATGGGCAAGAAGAACGCGTCCAAGTTCAAGCTCAAGGCCAAAAGCAGGCAACAGCAGCAGCGGGGGTGGCCTGGGCAGCGCAGGTTGATGCTGGGCTCCAAACATGGGCGCAAGCAGCAAGGCAAGGGGGTTCGCAGGGTGGCCAAATGCAGCCACAGTTAAAGAGGCAGGCTTGCAAGCAGGCAGGGTGCCAGGCTGCCACAGGCTCAGTGCAGTGGGAATAAAAGGAGCCTAACTTATTTCACAACTGCCTCCTGGAATCTTTGGGGCTCAGGGGTGGGAGAGGAAGAGGGCTGGGGCACAGAAGAAGCACAAGGCCATGGAGGGGAAAAGCTGGGAAAAACTAGGGTGAGATGGATTTGGGAAGGGCTTGAGGAACTGAAAGCACCCATTAGCTAGTCCAACCACATCATCTTGCATGTGGAGAAACTGAGGCCAGAAAGGGTCACAGGAATTGTGTGACAGAACCCAGCCTAGAACCCAAGTGTCTGACTCAGCAAAGTGTGTGGGTGTATGCTGGGAACTCTTAAGTTGCTTCTCAGACCCTTTCCCCGAAGAGGCAAGCAGATCCCCAAAGTCTGGTGAGGTCCCCTCCCCTGTCCCATGCCACCACCGACTGTTCCATGGAGACCAGAAAATGAGGCCAGGCCAGGATAGGTCCGGCCCAGCATTCAGCAGCCCAGGGCTAGAGCTCAGAGGCCAAAGGTGGCCCCCATCATTCCAGAGAATCTGGTTTGTCAGTCTGCTCATGGAGGCTGGAAGGTCCAGTTTGACAGTCTAGTAGGGGCTCCCACCCAGCCCCCCACTTTCCTGTACTCACTCAGAAGTGGCCAGGTCTCTCTTCAGCCTGTGGAAAAGTGAAGGAGAGGATAAGCTACTACCTACAATCCCCAGCCTGGTGCCAGGCCAGGCAAGAGGCCCCCCGACTCCTCTCCTGGCTGAGGCCCCGCCCCTCGTGTTGTCGAGCGAGTGTGAGCACCAGCCTCCCTAGGCTCCCTGCCCACACTCACCGTCCCTCCCGCCGGCAGCACATGATGTAGGCCAGCAGCAGGGCCAGCAGCAGGGCCAGCAGCAGGGGCACGAGGAGGGTAACTAGCGCATCGGTGAGGAAATCTCGGGCTGCAGCCTCAGTGGGTGGGCAGAAGAATGGGTCGTGCTCCAGGATGCCATCGCCCGGGGTGGGTAGCTCATCTGCGGGCTCTGGCACTGATTTATCCACCTGCTCAGAGAGCCCAGGGCTGACCCAGGAGCGGCTGGGTGGTCCCAGAGCATCAATGTCCCCTGATGGATCGGGTTTCCCCCTGCCTGACCCCCAGCTCAGGTGACCTGCAGGATAAGTGCTGGCTTAGCATCCAGCAGAGGAAGCCCGGGAGAGGCGGACTGGACCATGGTCAGGGCACAGCTCTAGGGGCTGACCATCGGGGTTTGAATCCTGACTCAGACAAGTTCTGTGCTGGACGACAACTCCAGGGGCCTCAATGTCCTCCCCTAGTAAAATGGGAATGCTAATAGGTCCTGGAGCGGTCGAGAGGATAAACATCTTGATGGCAGAGTGCCTAGCACACAAAGTGCTCCAGAATGTTGATTACTAGTCCCTGGCTGCACTGTTGGTCAAGTCACAGAAACAGAGTACTCTAGGGGTTCCCAGCCTGGGGAGTCAGGATCTCTAAGGACCCCAAATACCTCTGCTCAATATCCCCAAGAGCCGTAGTGAGCATGGGCGTGACGGCTATCTGTTCCTTATCACAGGCAGATTTGCTAGGTGACATCTTAGAAGGAAGCAGACAGAGCTGTCACACAAAGGTCCTTGGTAGAAAAAGGCTTTGGACCCGCCCTACGGGAGTGATTGTTCCAGCTATCGGGGACAACTGGGACCTCTGTAGCTGATGTAGAGCTCTTGTCTCTGGGTTGTGGGCTCTGTCTCCCTCTTGTGGGATAAAGTAAAACTTCAGGTTGTGAGTGCTTTAGAGCATGCTTGTGGGGCAGGGTGAATGGGGCAGGGGATGTGCCTGTAGAGATAGGGAAAGAAGAGCCACAGATAGAGAGATGGGATGGGAAGGTAGGGTAGGGAGGAGACTACGGTGCAGGCCATGCCCTACCCCCACCCCCAGAGCCAGGGTCCCTCCTCACCAGGGACACATTGCACCAGTCCACTCGGAAATGAGGTGCTAAGGTGTCATAGCAGGACAGGAGCGGAGGTTGGCCCTGGGCACAGCGAGCGTGGCTGTCAGGGGATGCCACCATCTTCAGGCAGGTGGAAAAGGGTGAGGCGGAGCCCACCTTGATGTACACCCTGGGCCCAGATAGAAGCCACCATCAGCAAATTCAATGGGTATCACTAGGCCCTGGAGATTTGGGTGTTACAGGGCCACCCTGAGATCTGGGGTTATGGTGAGAGTAGACAGAGCAGCCAAGTCTTCTAGGGCATCTTCCTAGGAATGTCCTCTGATGGATGAATCTTTTATGTCCTTATGGGGCACCAAACATGCAGAGATCAGGGTGAGTAGGGTTCAGATTCAGGAAGGGCAAGAAGGAGGGGATGGTTAGAGGAAAATGGACAACAGTGTGAAGCTGGGAGGTACAAATGGGCATGGTGTGGCTGCACGAAACTGAGTGAAGCCCCACCTGGAAATTAAATTAGGGAGACCCGTTATCCAGACAGAAGGAAAGGTGTTGCCTCCTCCACCAAGAAGGCCTCCAGGGTTGCACACTTACCCTTCCTTACGGCCCTCAATGGGAAGAGGGACGCGGCCCCCACGGTCCAAGGCAGAGGTGATATTGAGCAGCTGGAGCTCCCCCGGCTCCCAGAGCCCCCTCAAGGCTGTGAGGAAGCGACTGGCAGGTGCCGAGGGAAGCACCTCCTCTACATCATGACTGCACACCAGGAATTCAGCCTGGTATGGCAGCAGGGGGCCTGGAAGTGCCAGGATGGCACATCAGGCTGCACCCAGCTTTCATGGGTCCTTTGAAGCCTCCCCCCACCCCAATGTCTTCCCATATCCCCTTGGACTCCTTCCTTCCTCCTGAACATCCCATTCATCACAGGCCCCAAATACCTGTACCCGACACCCAGTCTCAATGACTGGCCCACAGCCCCATGGACTGTCAGCAGAGCAGCTAAGAATACAACTCCAGAGTCCTTCCAGGATGCCTTGCTCCCCACTACTCCCAAGTCTCCCCTCTCTCAGGGGTATTCCCCAAGATGGGCACTGGTGGAGTGGGGGTGGGGTCAGGCTGATGGTACCTTCTGGGTTGCCAGTCAACAGCACCAGCCTCTGCTGGGTGATGTTGAAGCTGTCTCGATTGTAGGCTATGACCTGGGGAGGATGGAGAAGAAGGCTGGGAGAAGTGATGTGGCTGGGGCCTGGCAGCAGAGGACTCAGACACCACCACGTTCGCGGCATATATAACTTACGTAAATGAACATGAGTGAGCACCCACATGTAACACAGCCCACTGGGGTCCCTGCTGGTACCTCGATGACGTGGCGTCCACGATCTTCTGGGGTAGGGGTGCCATAAAGGAAACCAGGGTGGTGAGGGCTGCGCTGGGTGTAGCGGAGCCACCGGGGCAGGTCTGGGTGTCCCTGAAGGTGGGCGTGGTAGGTGATAGGGACGGTGGGTGGGACAGCTGGTGGAAGGGAGGAGAGGGGATCAGAAACATGACAGGAGACTTCGCCCACCAGAGGCACTCCCAGCCCACCCCATGCTTATCAAGCCCCTCTCACCGACGTGCTCAGGAAGGTGCTGGAAGGTTTCATGGTTCAAGGTGTGCACAAAGACGCGGCCCACAAGCGGGTGTAGGGTGGTCTGCTGGGCCTCGATGCTTCCCAGCCCTGTCAGGAGACCTGTGGGGACACCACAAACCCCAAACACAGGGACCAGCCTCAGTCCTGGGTAAGCTCCCCTACTCTCCCATGTCCTGGTGCCCTTGAGATATAGAAGTGTGTGAGGGGAGGGGGCTCCCAGGAAAGGCCTGGATGGGACCCTGGCTGTGCCATACACTTTAGCCAGCGACAAGACAGACCTTTGCTTAATTTGGATTCCTGGGAGCCCCTCCCACTGCCTCGGTCTTAGGCCTCAGTAGGAGTCACAGCAGGCAGGGACTAATGCTTGGCTGGGAGGGTGTGTGTAGGTGTGTGTTTAGGGCACTTGTAAAAGAACCCTTAACACTGAGTATCTGGGAGGCAGGAGGGTGGGGAGGAGCTTTTGGAGGAGGTGGGATAGCCGTTCTGGGACTCCCCACCTGTCTCCCCTAATAAGCAGGAGGGACAAGGCCCACACTTAGCCCAACAAAAGCTGAGTAAAGGGCATCCTGAGCCCCCGGGAGAGGCCCTGTGGCAGCTGGCCCCCACACCCTCCCAGAGCCAAATTTAGCCTAGGCCTAGAGAGAAGCCAGCCCAGCCAGCCCTTTAAAGGGCCCATGAGGCCCTGGGCCTGGGTTGGGCCCAGGACACTGCACCCCTCGGTGTTCCCAGCCCCCTTCACCCCAGAGCCCAGCTCCAGCCCCAGTTCCCTCAAACCCCTACCCCTGCAGGCCCAGCATTAACACTCTGGAGTCCTCTGGCCCCCACCGGCGCCCCTGCCTGAGGAGCTTCTGTACTTTCATCTCTTTCCCCCTTAAGTCCCATCCCTCCGCCCTAGACCTCTCCCGGCAGAAGGCCCCAACTTGCCCACAAGAGGAATCCAGATGAGCACTGGCGCCATGGCTGCCCAGCCCACCGCCGGCTGTGTGAGTGACAGAGACAGGAGCAGGGCGGATGGGAGGGAGGGAGGGAGGTGTCCCAGAGCTGCTGGGCCCTGGCTTCCGCCTGTGGGCCCTCCCCATCCCCACTCGGAGCAGGCACTGAATCTGGGGTGGATGCTCCCTCCCTTGTCAAGGTCCCTCCAATCACCTCTTCCCAGTGGTCAAAGTATGTTTTCTAAAAACCAACCTGACAATGGCGTCATTGCCCTGAGCTCCCCAATTGTTGATGGCTTTTGGGCCCTTCCTGTACCTGGCCATCCTTTGTAGAATCCTCTTGTACACCACCCACCACACGCACACACACACGCGCACACACACACACACACACACACATACACACGCACAGGACCTCAGGCTTTTACCAGCCATGCTCTTCTAAGTCTACAGCTCTTCGCACAGGCTGTTCCCTCTGCCGGGAGTTCCTTTCCTGCCCTCATCCAGCCAGCAAACTTCCACTCACCTTTCAAGCGCAGCGCAGGCACCCTTTCCTCTCTGAAGGCTTTCTGTCCTCCTTCCTCCCCCTGGGATGCAGGGCATAGCCCAACCACACAGCCCTGAGCACTGCGGGGTGGACTAGGGGCTTGTTATCTTTGTATCCTGTACCTGGTCCAGGACCTGGCATCTGGAAGGTATGGGTGCCCCTTCACCCAGTCCCCAGCACAGGGAAGAGAGAGTCCTGGACAGGGCCAGCAGGCAGAGACAGGGGAGTGGAAGAGGTGGCACCAGCTTGGAGGCCTGCAGGCCTGGGCATGAATCCCATCTTGACCACTTACTGGAGATGTGGCCTTGAAAGAGTCAATTGCCCTCCCCGGGCTCTGTTTCCATAACTACAAACTGGCAAGAATAGTACTTGCCTCTTGATGTGCTTGTGAGGAATCCACAAAATCATGAATTCCATACCTATTGACAGAGCAGCCCCCACATGCCAGGGTCTAAGGATGCCAAGATGAGCAGCAGCCTCCTGCCCATGTAGACCTTGCATGCTGGTGGGTGACTTCTAATCCCTCCCTGCTGCTATGCTGAAGCTTTTACCTATATTTACTTATAGCAACTCACTCTAGCCCACAGCAGTTCCACAAGGCAGGTATTAATTTTGTCCCCATTTTACAGACAGGAATACTGAGGCACAAGGGATGTGTAACTCCCCCAAGGAAGGCCACAATTCTGACCAGCTGAATGCATGTGAAGACTTAGCCCTGTGTCTGACTTGATCCATGATACCCAGCTGTGCTTGCGCAGGGGCACCGTTTCCCCTTCCTTCCGCATCTGCCAAAGGATGTTGGCCCAGATGTAAAGGGGTAGGATGCCCTCTCCCAGGGTTTCCCATTCAGAGCGGGCAGAGGGGCAACTCCCTAGATGCCCTGAGAGGGAGGCAGGGGCCCATAGGTGCCAGGGTTCCAAAATTCTTGGTGTCTGCGTGAGTGTCCCTCCTGGCCTTGAGACTAAGGGCTTTGACATGGCACCCCTGTAACCAAACACCCCACTCAAGGATGTCTGTGGCCTGCCCTCGGTCAGGCCTGAGGGGCAGGGTGTTGGCCTGCAGACTGGGTGACCATTGGGCAGTTTACTTAGTCTTTGTCCCTTCCTCTCTCTCTCCACCTGACCATCCCACCTGTTCCCTAGAGAGCCACCAAATTCCACAGTCAGCATTCACTTAGACAGGGCGGGGTTTGTCCCAGAGTCACCTTGGCACCCCTGTGCCTTTTCTGAGATGGAAGGCCGGAGGGAGAGTCAGAGGGCTCTGGAGGAGCAGGCAGAGGTGCCAGAGCTGGGCCACCTGCCAGGGCCTCAACCCCTCAGCCGCTCCACGTGACTCTCCTTGCCCCTCCGGGCTATTTTTGGAGCCACCCACTCACACCCTCAGCTGTCTTAAGGTAGCAGTGCCTGAATCCAGTGCCAGCAGGCCCACAGAGGCCAGCCTTCCTTACTGATCCTTCTCCCCTTCGCCAAAACCAGGGGAAGCAGGGACCATACTAGGAACCAGCAGGAAGTCCCTGAATGTCTTGCCTGACTCACCATAGGACCTACCCCACCTCAGAGCCATCAGCCCACAATGCTCAGCACCCTCTGTTCCTTAGGGCCTTGGGGTAGGCAGTAGCGTCACAGAGTCTTCACTCTTCTTATATTGGAAATTTTAAATAAAACAAAAATACACAGAATAATATAATGAGCCCCCATATATCCATCACACAGCTTCAACACTCAGCAACTCTTGGCTAATGTTATTTCATCTATTACATTATATTATCCCTCCCAATTTCCCTTTCCTATTTAATGTCCTCCCTCAGTATTTCAGTATGCATCTTTGAAAGGCAATGACTCTTTTTTTAAACATAATCACAATTATTATACCTAATATGTTATTATATCTTGAAGTTCACAGTAATTCCTTAATATCAGATCTATAGTGTTCAAATTTCCAACTTCTCATAAATGTTTTTCATACACAATGTATTTGTTTGAATCAGAACCCAAATAAGGTGTACCTACTGCAACTGATTAATAGGTCTCTTTTAAGTCTCTTTAAATCTATAGGTTTCCCCCTCCCACTAACTCTGTCCTGGAGGGAATCAGGTCATTTGTTGGGTAGTTTTTCACTGGCTGGGTTTTGCTTGTTGCATCTCTATGGTGTTCTTCAGCATGTTCCTCTGACCTCTGCACTTCCTGCAAATTATATTTCCTGTCTGTTGTTATTTCCTATAAATTGTAATTGGTTGGATCAAGAGTCCTGATCAGGTGTAGATTCCATTTTCTCTGGCAAGAGCATTTCATAGATGGTGGTGTTGCTTTTTCCATCTGGAGGCACAATAGCCATTGAGGCTGTGTGAGTTTTCTATTTGTTTGTTTTTGCAATACGTAAGAGTCAAATGCAATCACTCCTCCTTTATTAGCTGGGATAATTCTAGACAGAGAAACGGCCCCTTACCATTTGGTTACAGAGTGGTACAGCTCATACAGGAAAGACAGGATACTTGATTCTGTTCCTGTATTTACCAATTTCAAAATAATGAGTTGATATCCTAGCATTCTCTAAACTGTGACCAGTTAGCATTCTTTAAAAAAAGAAATTAGTAAAAAAATTATGAATTTATGATTTTACACATATTTGATTGCTTCAATCCATTGCGACTTGTGCCTCTCCTGACACTCAGGTTGTCCCCTCCTGAGCTCCGACTTGGTCCTCACCATCTGCAGCATCTATCTGGGTAAGGTCTCTGATCTCCATCTGTCTCAGCCTGTCTCCACAAGCCCAGCCCAGTTCTGGAACCTCTGCTTTACCCCTGTTACCCTCTGGAGCTGGTTCTCTGTCTCTGCTGCTTTGCCATCTGCACCTGTCTCAGCTTTCTGCCCGATCTCTGCCTGTCAGCGTCTCAATTTAATCCCACTGGCCCTTTGTCTCTGCCTCTCCTCATCTAAGTGAATGTTTTCTGAATGAATGAATGATTGAATGAATGTATCATCTCCCCAACTGTCTCATTCCACTTTTGTCTTTTTGAACCTGTCTCCTGATTTCTGAGAGCCATATTTTTTCTTCATCTACATCTAAAACGAGGGATTATATGTTGTCATGAGGGACAAAGAAAAAGGATTTTCATCATGGTGATTTGATTGTAGCATCTGCCTCGCAGACTCCACCCACATCTTTCTCCCTCACGCTCCTCACCGCCCCCACTCAACAACAAAGGGTGCGATACGTCAGTCAGCCACGAGAGGGCGCATCTACTGGCTTCAGCCCGGACCTGCGCCTGCGCAATACTGGGGCGGAGTGAGGGTTGGAGGGAGCGCCCCGCCTAGGGTTGGGGATGCGCGTCAGAAATGCGTGGTGAGCGCGGCGGCCAGAGGGGGCCGATGGAAGAGGGAACCCAAGGCCTCGAGCTACGTCGTCCTCCCCTTCCGGGTCCAGAGGATGTTTTTCCAAATGGGAAGGAGAACCGGCAAGGAAGCAGGGGGCTGGACACAATGCTCTCTTTCCCACCTTCCCCCTCATCTGTAATCAACCCTCCGGCTCCGGGGTACATTTCCTTATTTCCCCACCTCCCCAGACGTTTGAGGGCACTAGCCTGAGTATCTAAGTGTACCCAGAATTCTCTTGCCCTTTTTATCGGTGGTTCAGGCCTCGAAGGGGTTTCTGGAGCCTCGTGACAGCCCCAAACCATCAGTCATGAGTCTGAGAATGCCAGGGACCATCCCAGCCAAACTTTTTAGCTTGCAGTTGAACAGAAGGGGAGGGACTGTCCGAGGTCTTACTGCGCAGGACTGTTAGAGCGCTTTCCACCGAAACACTCCCCGTCTGTAAAGTGGGGGAAATGAGATCAATGAGATAATGGAAGTGAAAGTGCTTTGTAAACTGTAAAGCTCTGGAGAAAGTAAGGGGTCTTTTATTTATTTATAACTGACAGTGCAAGGCAATAGCTGTCCAGGGCCAGTCCAGGGGCACAGCCTGAGAGGTGGGAGAAGTCAGATTTAGAAGCCACCACTCGGTGATAGAAAGAGTAGGAAAATAAAATGCCTGGCATTTTTTGCAGTCAGTGTGATTATTTATACAGAAAACCCAAGAAAGTCTACAGAGAATACAGATTCTCTATGTTATAGAGTTATTAAGAGAGATCAGCAAGGTTGAGGGACAAAGATTAACATCCAAATACAAATAGAATACAATATTCAATAGTGTTTCTATACACTAGTAATAATTTATTAGTAATTGTAATATCTTTTTTAAAAGAAATCATTAACAATAAAATTAAAACTCACAAAAGATATTCAATGATATTTATGAAGAAAAAAGCCTATAAAACTATAGGCTATAGAAGGAATATATAGAAAGATGTATTAAGTTTAGAGATGGGAAGCCTCCACGTCATGAAGACAGGTATATACATACTAATCTGACGATTCAATGAAAGCCCAGTAAATATCCCAACAGGATTTTTCAGAGAGCTAGGCAAACTGATTCTAAAATTCATATGGAAGAGCAAAGGACCACGAGGAGATGAGACAATTCTGAAAAAGAATAAACCCCTAACAGATACCAAGACTTATTTGAAAGCATAGTAATTAAAACAATGTGGTATTGGTGCCGGGCTAGACAAAGAGATCAATAGAAAGAACAGAGTGGTCAGAAACAGATCCAAGCATATGTGGGAATTTGATTTATGATGGCAGTGGCATTGCAACTCAGAGAGAATAAACTATTAAATAAAAAATGTTGTGACAATTGGCTTTTCATATGAAAAGTCTTCACACCATCCATAAATATTAATTCCAGATGAATTAAAAACTAAATGTGAAAAACAAAACTTCAAAATAATTAGAAAAAAATGTAGAAGGTCTCAGGGTAGGAAAAGATCTCTTAGACAAGAGACACAACTCACAAAAGACTGGCCAATTTTACTACATTACCAAAAAAGTTTTTTTTCATAGCATTCTGCTATGAAAATGACATGAACAAAATTAAAAGACAAGCAACAGCCTGGGTGACAATGTTGGCAACACATAAAACAGATAAAAGAGTAGTTTCCATGATTTATAAAGAGATCCTGCAAATCAATAAGGGAAGCACAGACATTTTGAGTGTCACCCAAAGGCATTCTTTTCCCTTCTTCCTTACTAATAGAATCTTGGTCTGATTCAGGAATCAAGGGTCAAGGCTTTGGGGGAGGCAGGCCCTACCCCAGCTCCATGAGGTGAACAGTGGTTGGTCTAAATATAACATGATACTTTGGTTCCTCTGTTCAATTATTGGTTTTAGGCGTGAACATGTATACAATTCTGGTCACCAAGACCATAGGGAGATCTCCTGTAGGGCCCCTGGGAAAGAGACACTGAGAAAAAAGCATCCACTTTCTTCTGTATCTAGACATTGTCTTCAAGAGACACCTGTAGCTGAGGCAGCCATTTTGGACCATGAGAGGACCAGTCTAAGAGGCAAACCAACATGATGAGGAAGAGATTGTAGCAACAGGTATACAACCTGGTTCCTGATGTCACAGCTGAATCTCCGAATTAATCAACACTAGGACTTCTTGTTATATGAGATAATAAAATTCCTTTTTTGTTTAAGCTACATCTAGGTGAGCTTTCTATAACTCACATTGAAAGCTGCAATTGATAGTAAAGGATATAGACATAAGCAACTCACCCAGAGGAAACCTAGTTGGCCAATGAGTATGATAAGATGCTCGACCTCAGAGGCAGGGAATGCAGATTCAAATAAGATACCACCTCACACCCATCAGACTACAAAAATAAAAAGTCTAGCAAGAGCAGATGTTGACAAGGATGTGGTCACACAGGACATCTTGTACAAATGCTGGTGGTGAGAGCATAAACTGGAGCAGTCACTGTAGAGAGCAGTTTGGCAGTACTAGTCAAGAGAGTGCACCTGTCATACAACTCCAGCTTTCTGATGCACTCTGAAGATGGGTTCAAACAAGTGCAAGGGTGTACTTGCAGTCCTGCTTATAACAGCCAAACACAGAAACAAAACTGATAATAAATGGTAGTTTATTCATGCGATGATATAATAAACAAGTTAAAGTGAAGTAGTCAAAGCCATATGTATTAATATGGCTCCATCATGAAAAACTTGTCAAGTGAAAAAAAAGACACAAAATGATACACACGATATGATGGTGATTATATACATATCCGTAATACAGAAAGCATTACTATATGCTGCTCTGTGAATAAAATGTGTAGGGAAAATATAAAATCATCATGGACTAGACTTTAAAAAGAAGGAAATTCTGACACATGCTGCAACACGGATGAACCTTGAAGACATTATGCTAGCCAACAGGCACATGAAAAGATGCTCCACATTGCTAATCATCAGAGAAATGCAAATTAAAACCACAATGACATATCACCTCACACCAGTTAGGATGGCCACAATCCAAAAGACAAATAACAACAAATGTTGGCAAGGATGTGGAGAAAGGAGAACCCTCCTACCCTGCTGGTGGGAATGTAAATTAGTTCAACCATTGTGAAAAGCAGTATGGAGGTTCCTCAAAAAACTAGAAATAGAAATACTATTTGACCCAGTAATTCCATGCCTAGGAATTTACCCTAAGAATGCAGCAGCCCAGTTTGAAAAAGACAGATGCACCCCTATGTTTATCACAGCATTATTTACAATAACCAAGAGATGGAAGCAACCTAAGTGTCCATCAGGAGATGAATGGATAAAGATGTGGTACATATATACAATGGAATATTATTCAGCCATAAGAAGAAAACAAATCCTACCATTTGCAACAATCAGGTGGAGAAAGACAAGTATCAAATGATTTCACTCATCTGTGGAGTATAAGAACAAAGCAAAAACTGAAGGAACAAAACAGCAGCAGACTCACAGAATCCAAGAAGGGACTAACAGTTACCAAAGGGAAAGGGATTGGGAAGGATGGGTGGGAAGGGAGGGATAAGGGGAAAAAAGGGCCATTATGATTAGCACGTGTAATGTAGTTGGTGGGGGACACGGGAAGGCAGTATAACACAGAGAAGACAAGTAGTGATTCTATAGCATCATACTATGCTGATGGACAATGACTGTAATGGGGTATGTGGGGGGGACTTGATAATGGGGGGAGTCTAGTAACCATAATGTTGCTCGTGTAATTATATATTAATGATACAAAAAAAAGACATTATGCTAAATGAAGTAAGCCAGTCACAAATGGACAAACATTGAATGATTCCACTTATATGAGGTACATACAGTCATCAAATTTGGAGAGCCAGAAGGTAGAATGGTGGTTGCCAAAGGTTGGCAGGAGGCAGACATGGGGAGCAAGTTAGTGTTTGATGGGCACAAAGAGTTTTGAAAGATGAAGAAAGTTCTAGAGATGGACGGTGATGTTGATTGTACAACAATGTGAATGTACTTAGTGTCAATGAATTGTACACTTTAAATGGTTAAAATAGTAAATTTTATGTTGTGCACATTTTATAATGAAAGATAATACAATAATTATTGGCTATAAAGGATGCATTCCAAATTTGTGAGAGTGGGTAGGGTGGGCAATGGGACTGGGGAGAAGGAGAAAGGGGCTTCAGCTCACCCTCATGTTCTATAAAAGAACCAGAAGGTAAAATGACAGAATGGGAAGTCTTGTAAATTCTGTTTGTCATATGCTTCTCCAAACTCTTATTTTTAAAGAAACTTCATACTCGAAGTATAAAAGAAGAGTTTTCCAAAGTGGAACTGCCTTGAAGTGATAGGATTTGTGCCCCCAACCCTCCCCCTCAAGCAAAATCACCTGAAGTACAAAGGGTTGAGTGTGGAATTCCTGAGAGCTGGCCTTATGATGTTGTACCTGTACTGGGTACCATGACAGCCTGGTGGAGCCTGGCGGAGGCAGTTGACAGGGGAGTGACACGTACAGGATGCTCTTGACCCACAGCAGCTGAGGCAAAGGCTGGAGGAGGATGTGACTCCAAGAGCCAGTCTCCTCCTCAGGTATCCAGTGCACAAGATCCAGAGAGCAGATGAAAAATAGAAACTGCCATCAAAACACAGAAATGTGTATTATTGGCCGCTGGAGTGGGCAATAGAAAGATAGCTGTCTTTAGAATCTGCTGATGACAAAATGTATTGCCTAATCTTTCCACTTAATTTTTTCTTTGACCTCCCTGCATATCTCTGGAGTTCTCATGGCTGTGGCTGTCTGCGTTGCAAAATACATATTTACAGGCCCTCTAAGCCTGGCTAAATATAGGCTTTCTTTTAAAGCAACTGATGATTTGGAGAAATCTTTCCTCTGTCCCATCCCTTCCCCACCCCCAACCACACACACACACACACACACTCCTCCTTCTTAGTCTCCTTCCTGAATCTCCAAGATGTATCTGAACTTTCCATATGACACTAGAGTGAAGTGTGGAGCACAAATGGAAGAAAAGGGGACAGAGCAGAGGGACAGGCAGCAAGGCAGTCTCCCAGCTGTGGAGGACCCCCAAGGGACCCTTCTCCCTGCAGGGGTAATGGGGAACTTGAAGCACCAAGAGGCAGGAATGGAAACCCTTTTTGGAGGTAGAAAAGGGAGGTCACCTTCACTCCAGAAATGATCCTAAAAGATTTGGAGAGCTGCAGGTAGGGAGTGCTTATAATATTCCAGAATTTCATATAATAGATCTTAGAAAGAAACAAGAGGCTGAAAGTCTCATTAAGACACACAAAGAGATGCAAATATCGATGCCCATTTTCACCCACAACACTTGTCTTCACGTGTGTTTATGTGTACACACCCTCATACATGTTCAGATACACATGCAATTAATAACGGCCAACTCACTAAGCTCCTGCTTTGTGCCAGGAGCTGTTCTAAATGCATAAATGCTCATAGAACACATTCAATCCTCACAGCACTGTGTGGTTGGAGATTATTTCTATTTTATAAATGCAGGAATTTGTTGAAGTCCCTTGATTGGGAAGTGGCAGGTTGGAGATTCTAAGACTGGTCAGGCTTCAGAGCCCTATTTTGCTCTGCTTCACACAGGGTGAAGGAGATCCAGGACCACCCACAGGCAGGAGACACAATCAGACACTCAAATTGAGTTGTTTGAGGAAATTAGGCTTAGGAAACGGAAATGACTGGCTCAAGGTCACCCAGCAAATAGGTGGAGCTTGGACTCAATTCAGAACCTGTGAACTCCAACCTGGTCTCTTTCCTCTAAAAACTGAGTAAGCCACTTCCCTCTCCACGTCTCAGCATTCCTCACTCCCCTTGGCAAGGGGTCAGCCAAGGATTGCTAAAGGCTCCTCCAACACTGACATTCTGGATTTGAATTCCCTCTGTGTAAGCATGGAACACTCAGCAGACCTTTCTAGCATCTTCCTACCGGCCCAAGTCCCTGGAGGAGGGCAGATGACGGGGACTGATCCGGGCAGGAACCAATGGATCACCACAAAACGGCTGAAGGGCAGGCAGGGAGGGTCCAGGCCATCCCCTCCTGCTCAGATGACTGTGGCTGAGGAAACACCATTTCCAGAGGCCTAGTCCCAAAACCCAGAGCTGGGAACAAAAGCTAGTCTTGGCCCCCAGCCCGGGCCTGATCCCAGGGCGCTAACGGCTTGGGACTTATCACAAATCAGGTGTCTCCCTACCTTCATCACCGAAGCTTGTAGTTACATTTCATGTTCAAAACTAGCAAGCCTGAAAGTACAGTCTCAGAGGGCTCTCATCAGCTTTGGGGGAGGGTAGGAAAAAAGGGAGGAGCTTTAAGCAGGAGGAGGGGTGGGGGCGGATCGTCTCTCCCTATAGAAACCTCCAGCCTTTTTAGCGAGGGCAGGGAAAGGTACCTCCCTCCACGCTCTTACCTTTTGTGTTCCAGTCATTTTCATCTCAGTTTATCCTCTCAGAGCACAGAGAGCCTAAGTGACTTGTCCAAGGTCACACACGGCTGGTAAGTGGTAGTGTCAGGATTCGGGCCCTGGCCGCCTCACTCCTGCGTCAATTTTGGGAACCACTCCACCCTCTATTCCAGGCAAAGGTAAGGAAGGAACTTCCATTCAGACTACCAGGCAACTTGGCCATCAAGGCCGCCTTCATAAAGGACAATGTAAACAGAAAAAAAAAGGTCAAATTACCCCAGGGAACTGAACAGGAGATATGAGGAACACAGCCTGAAGAATGAAAATTAGGTTTAAACCCATCAGTTTGGTTGGTAACCCTCCCCAAATTAACTGCCTTTCTCACCCTTTTTGGAGGTGAGATTACTGCTCCAGGCAGGCAGGGAGAGAATGGTGGAGATAACACTCTGCTCCCCACCCATCTCACAGGCCAGCAGGCTTAGTGCCAGACCCCAGGGAAGGAGTGATGGTAAAGCACTTACTGCTCCGTAAATGCTTCTTCAGAAATTCTGGCTGGGGGGTGTCACTGAGCTAACCAGGAGCCCAGGAAGTAATAATGTCCCTCATTAGCCTAAGTCATCCAAGCTCTGGGCTGGCTCCACCCTCCTGCATCCCAAAACACTTAGAGGGATTTCACTCTTGGAAGTCTCTGAACAAGGGAGACCCCAGCATCCAAAAGATTCTAGTTCACTCCAAGTGGCTACTGGAGATGTTGTTGGGTGTCTCAGGGTCACCAGGCCTGAGAGCTGGTTCTCAGCCCCTTTTCCACCCTTAAAAGCCAGTTTCCCCACCTGGCCAGAAGCGTGGGCACAGACCCCTTGGGCTGGGACCAGTTAAGATGACTCACCAAAGGGTGTGGGAGATTCTGGGCAGAACACCCAAGGGCCTGCGCCCTCTCCAATCCACAGAAGAGCTTCTGAGGACACTTCACCTAACCCCCAACCCCCAACAAGGGGAGATTTCTGTCTCACCGAACTTCCATAGAGGGTTTGCGGGGCCTGTCAGCGGGGTGGGTTCAAGCTCCAGACTTGAGCTTGGAAAACCAAGTTCCAAAGCTTGCTGGTGAAAGTCTAAGAAAGTTTAGGAGGGAGGGGAGATTGAGGTAAACTTCACTCTGTCCCATCCCAAAGTCGAAAATTGGGGAGATGAAGTTTCCTGGGCAGCTGTGCAAAGAAGAAGCAGGTGGCACTGGAGGGCCTGAGGTCTGGGTTCATTCCTGCCTCCTGCTCAGAACCCCAATTTTCTCTCTCCCTTAGCCTCAGGATTGCCAGCTCCGGATCCAGTCTTATGGCTCCTGGTCCTCTCTGTACCTATTTTCAGGGCTCCCAGGCAGCTTCCCACCCCCCATCCCCCATACTCTTTTGCACGTGCTAACTGGTTTATATCCCACAAAACCCACACACACCCCTACAGTGGAGAGGTGGGAGGATTCACTTTGACAGGCTTTGTAGGCAAGGGTGGAGGGAGTGGAGTGGAGGACTGGGAAGAAGAGGAAGAGGATGGAAGGGAAGAGGGCGGGGGAGGAGGCAGAGGCCCCAGGAAGGCCAGAGATGCAGGAAGCAGCTGGGAGTTGGGGTGGGGGGGGGTAGGCTTTGTGCCTGAGTTGTTCTCTGGGTCCTAGGGCTCACAATGTTCATCATTTTCTGGGATCTATAGAGTGAAGCAGTGCATCTGGACCTGTCATGGTCTAAAGGGTGGGGGGACCTGCACTCTCTGGCCTTGGCAGCTGGGGAGTGGTAGAGGGCAACCTCAGCCCCCTGTGTGTATGGGGTGGAGGGGGCATCAAAACAGCTTTCTGGGTTGCCAGGACAGGGTATGTGTAGGTCACCACCACCCTTCCCCTTCCCTCCCTATACACACTTGTACACAGTGGCCAGGGTCCTTTAAATCAGACCCAACTAGAGCTCTCACCACTGCCACCTCGGCCCCAGCCCCTGAAAAGCCTCCTCCAAAGCTCCTTCTTCCTGTTTGAGAGGCAGGAGTGCCCTAGTAGGGGCCTGAAGACAGGGCTTCCCACCTGGCCTTCTAGCCAGGGTGCAGGGCCGTCCACCCTCCTCGGACTTCCAAAGGGTAAAGGCCAGCTTTGGTCTGCCGCTGGGGTAATGAGGACCATCTCCTTTCTCCGTTAAACTTTCTCCTCCAGGACAAGGCCAGGAGCACAGGGCCAATATTTTACACCTTAAAGGGTACAAATGATTCCCTATGGAATATTGTTAAAATGCAGATTCCCCTGGCGGCCTCTGAGTTCTACTTCAAAGTTTGGGGGAATGTCCAGAAATCTGAATTTTAAAATATTAAAAAATGCCCAGTGATTTTGATGCCAATGGACTTGAACCATACGAAGGAGCTTGAAGGACCTTGAAGGAAATGATTCTTTGCCCCTCCCCACTAATCTCCCTTTACAGTTGGGGTGGAAGAGGGCCTCACTGAGACCACTGTGGCTGGATTGCCTTCCCTAGTATTTAGTGAAGGGTGCGGGTATGTGGGGTACTGACGAGCCGCTGTCAGAAGTTGGGACGGAAAGGCTGGCGAAGACTGGCCAGGGTCTGGGGTCAGCAGAAGGCTGTGGGCGGGGGACGCGCATGGGAGGGGATACATTCGGGCGGAGGGGAAGAGGAGGGCTCACAGACGCCGGCCCCGGAAATCCGATCCCTTTAGGACCCAGAGGTGCCAGTCCCCCAGCGGCGGCGGAGAGAAGGGCAGCCGCTCGGTCTCGGGCAGCCGCCGCTCGGGCAGAGCCAGAGAAAGACCGAAGCTCGGGGCGAGGGGGGAGGGAGGGAGGGAGGGTGGCGCGGCGGCGAAGCGGCCCGGGCCGGCCGATCAGCCATGGGCGCCGGGGTGCCGGGCCCCCCGAGAGCCAAGGCCCCCGGCCGGGGTGGGGGGCGCCCGGGCTGCCAGCCCCGTTGACACCGCCTCGGACGATGTGAGCCGGCGCCTCCGCCGCTGCTTCGCGGGCAGGACGCGCGGTCCCACTGGCCCTGGCCGCCGCTTTTCCCATTTGGGTGGGGGCGACCGTACCAGGCCTCTGGGGCTTTGCAAGAGGAGCTGGTTATCTTTGGCAGCTTGACTGGGGGAGGCGACCCACACAGGGCGCTTGATTTTTTTTAGAGCGGGGTTAACAGTTTCTGGCAGCTTGGTTTTGGGGGAAGCCTAAAAAAAGGCCTCTCGTTTTCTTTTTTTCGGGGGGAGGGGACGGTGGTCCCGACTTGGCCAGCCGCCTGTTGGAGCGAGGGAGCGGGAAGCGAGGGGATGCGAACCCGGCTCCCCCCACCATGATGAAGACGGAGCCGCGGGGGCCCGGGGGTCCCCTCCGGAGCGCCTCCCCGCACCGCAGCGCATATGAGGCGGGCATCCAGGCTCTGAAGCCGCCCGACGCGCCAGGGCCCGACGAGGCACCCAAGGCAGCCCACCACAAGAAATATGGCTCCAATGTCCACCGCATCAAAAGTATGTTCCTGCAGATGGGCACGACGGCCGGGCCGCCGGGTGAGGCGGGTGGCGGCGCGGGCTCCACCGAGGCCCCGCGGGCGCCCGAGCGCGGCGTGCGCCTGTCGCTGCCGCGGGCCAGCAGCCTGAATGAGAACGTGGACCATAGCGCCCTGCTCAAGCTGGGCACCAGCGTGTCGGAGCGCGTGAGCCGCTTCGACTCCAAGCCCGCGCCCTCTGCGCAGCCAGCGCCGCCGCCGCACCCGCCGTCCCGGCTGCAGGAAACGCGGAAGCTGTTCGAACGGAGCGTCCCGGCGGCCGCGGGCGGCGACAAGGAGGCCGCGGCGCGGCGGCTGCTGAGGCAGGAGCGCGCCGGCCTACAGGACCGGAAGCTGGACGTCGTGGTGCGCTTCAACGGCAGCACAGAGGCGCTGGACAAGCTGGACGCCGACGCCGTGTCGCCGACGGTCAGCCAGCTCAGCGCAGTCTTTGAGAAGGCCGACTCGAGGACCGGCCTCCACCGTGGGCTCGGGCTCCCTAGGGCGGCGGCCGCAGGAGCTCCGCAGGTCAACTCGAAGCTGGTCAGTAAGAGATCTCGGGTGTTCCAGCCGCCACCGCCCGCCCCGTCGGGGGATGCCCCAACCGAGAAGGAGCGCGGTCCCGGAGGGCAGCAGCCCCCACAGCATCGAGTGGCCCCTGCCAGGCCGCCCCCTAAGCCCCGGGAGGTGCGCAAGATTAAGCCGGTGGAGGTGGAGGAGAGTGGGGAGTCGGAGGCTGAGGCGGCACCTGGGGAGGTGATCCAGGCGGAGGTGACGGTCCACGCGGCCCTGGAGAATGGCAGCACCTTGGCAACCACAGCCGGCCCAGCGCCCGAGGAGCAAAAGGCCCAAGCGGCCCCGGAGGAGGAGGCGGCGGCGACCGTAGGGGCGCCTGAGAGAGGGTTAGGCAATGGCCGGGCCCCGGACTTGGCCCCAGAGGAGGCCGATGAGTCCAAGAAAGAGGACTTCTCAGAGGCAGACTTGGTGGACGTGAGCGCCTACAGTGGGCTGGGGGAGGACTCTGGGGGCAGTGCCCTGGAGGAGGACGACGAAGAAGAGGAGGAGGATGGGGAGCCCCCCTATGAACCCGAGTCTGGGTGCGTGGAGATTCCGGGGCTCTCGGAGGAAGAGGACCCGGCACCCAGCAGGAAGATCCATTTCAGCACAGCACCCATTCAAGTAAGTGGGCCCCCACTCCTGCCCCCGCGCCGCCCCTACCACGTGCACGCGGTATCCCCTGCCTCGCCAGCCAGCCGGGTTTGGCAGGCTGAGTCAGCCCCTGCCACCCAGCCCCCTTCCCAGAAGTTACCACCCTGAGGGGGGCGTGGGGGAGCCCCAGCTGTTTGTCAGAGAGAAACGATTTTTTCAGGCGCAAAGACAAGGGTAGCCTGCCCTAACTTGCCCTCGGGTTACTCCCCGCCCAGGGCTTTGGGCCTGTCAGCCCAGAGCTCTGCCCCTGAGGGTCCGGGGGCACCTGCTTTCCCTTCCTTTCCCATACATTCTTCCAGAGGCTGCTGGATGCTGGGCTTGGGTAGTGGGAAGGTGTGTGTGTGTGTGTGTGTGTCCCCATCTTCAGGAGAGCCTCCCCACATTGGCCATTACTCCACTGTGGGCCAGAAGGGTCAGGAGAGCTCAGAAACAAGCCCCTTGCTCCCCCCCCTGTATGTGAGCTACATAGGGGGAGGGAGGGAGGAGCCAAGAATTTCCCGAAACCAAGGTGTAGGGGACCGCAGCCCTCCATCCTGTCTGTAACCCTCACCCCAACTTTGCAGAAGTGAAAGAGGGAAGCAGGTCTAAAAGGGTGAGCTGGGCTGGGTCCATGTGACTGGGGGTTGGAGGAAGGCCTGGTGCTGGAGCCCTGTGCTGAGCCAGGTCTGGAGCGTCTGTGTTGGGTTACACAGGGAGCAAGCATTTGTGTGGCCCTTGAGGGGTCTAGGCCTTCAGCAGGGCACGCTGGAGAAGGGGGTGGGCTAGGAAACCCCCAGGGTACCTGGCAGCTGCCATCATGCCTTTGCTCCTTGGCTGCTTAATAGGACCATCTTCCATGGCTTTGGCAGGACCTAGTGCTCTTGCCATGTTCTCTGGGTGCCCTGAAAGAGGGATGGGAGCTGTCCCTTTTCTGGGGTCTCAGTTTGCCCCATCTCCTTCCCCACCACCACTCTTGGTGATTAGTTTGTGGGTTGTGCTAGTCACTGAGATCCTCAGAACCGTGCTGGGAGGGTGGGGGTGGAGAAAAATCCCTTTGGGAGAATTAAGAACCCCAGCCTCCCACCCTCCACTCTTGACTGGCACATTCAGCCTGGGTGGCCCTTTCTCACCGTCCTGGGCTCAGCTGTGCCCCATGCCAGACCTGCTGCATGGAGGTGTCCAGGGCCCTGGGCTTTCTTTGGCCTGAACCCTGCCTTTACTCCTCCTCATCCAAACCGTTGTCTGTTTGCTTACAGTTTCCATAACTACTGCTGGTCACTGAAGCTGCCCAAGTTTCCTCCCACACGCCCCAGAGTATCTTAACCTCTACCCCAACTCCCACCCCTGCAGGAGGCCTGAAAGGTGCTACTGCCTTCCCTGGGGCTGTGACCTCATGAGTCCTTTGTGAACCCTCTCCCTCCTGAAGGCAATGGGATTCTGGAAGGAACTGAGACTTGTGGTATTACTTGGGATGCTGAGGAAGGGGGTGGGGACCACTGAGGGAGTCAGGAACCCCCTACCACCCCACCAGCAGTTCTCTGAACAGCCTGAGCCCCTTAGAGATGGAGTTTGGTCTTTCAGTCCTGGGCCTCTAACCGTCTATATTTGACACTTTACCCTGATTTTTGGGTAAAAAATAGCACATGATTTGGAGCAGTGCTCCCCAATTCCCTGGTGACCGTGGCTCGCCACGGTGTGGGAGCCACTGGTGTGTGGTGCTTCCTTGTGTGACTTACCATGGACTTGCTGGGGATTCCCTCCTCCGCACCCTGGACCCTGGGTCCTAGGGTTTCCCTCTCCCTGCCCTGACTCTGCGCTGATTCTCAGTCCAAGGTCTTGTTCCCTGAGGATGACCCAATT